GAGTATTCTCATTGAGAGAATCAGTCTCAGTAAAAAAGACTAGAAGCTTTCTAGAATTTATTAATTTCTACTAAAGATTTATCAAGAACTTCTCTGATATCACACAATCACTAATGAATTTAATCTGAAAAGATATTATATTTTAATAAATTAATAAAATGAGTGCAGTGTTCAAGAAGCTGAAATATATATTCACAAATACTCTAATACTGCAATCATTTAACTCAAATAAGTATACAATTCTTGAAACAGATGTTTCAGATTATATAATAGATAAAGTATTGATATAATATAATAATAAAAATATTCTACAACTCTGTATCTTCATCTTGAAGAAAATATTGCTTGCTGAATATAACTATAAAATTTACAATAAAAAGCTTCTAATGATCATACAATATTTTGAAAAATAAAAGTTTAAATTTATAAGTATTGAGAAGTTTGAAATTATCATCAATTATAAAAATCTGAAGTACTTTACAATTACTCATAAACTCACTAAGAGGTATATATATTAATTATTATTTCTCAGCTGTTTTTCATTCACAATTCATTATCAATTAGAAATAGAGAATACTCTTATAAATACTCTGTTTTACTGAAAATAAGATATATTATTTAATAATCTGAATAACAGATGAAAATACTGAGAGTATCAGTTAATTGATTTTATAATTATAAAGAGTTTCATATAATCAGATGAACTCTATATATATATTAATCAGTCTTAAACTCAAGATCTCTTACTTAAAAAGTAATGAAGATAAGCAGCAGAAGTGAATGAACTCTGATAATAAATTATTAAAACTGTATAAAACAAAGCATCTCAATTCTCTGTAGATATATACTCAAGAATGAACATCTCAGTATACTCAATTAATAATAATAACTGCTTATATTTTTAAAATAGATAATGAGTTCTCAATTCAGAATCTCTATAAATATAGATTATATAAGAAATTTATAACTCATTAATAATTAAGTATTCAGAATATAAAATTATATACAGTATTATTATCTAAAAATTCTACTAACTAAATATATTGAAAAATATATATTGATTTATATACAACTGTGATCACTGCAGCTCAGTAATAGTATAATATAAATACTGAAAAGAAATACTGAAGCTTCTATCTATCTCTGAATAAATTTAATATAATATAGTTATTAATTTTGCAGTTTTCTTGCTTAAAAGTAAAGATTCTATAAATATTTTAGTTATTATTGACTGATTTAGCAAAAGTGTAATACTGCAGCTCTGTAATAAAATAAATACTGAAATTATTATAAATATCTTCATCAGAAGCTCATTCTATTATATATATAATCTATTTTCATTTATTATATCAGATAAAAATAATCAGTTTATAAATGTACTTTGAATTTGTATATATCAGCTACTGAGAATTGAGTAAAAGTTATTAATAGTATATTATTCAGAGACTGATAAAGCTACTGAGAGAATAATATAAACAGTTAAAAATATTCTCTAAAAATTCTATAATTATATATAAAATAACTGAAGTAATCTACTGCTGTACATTGAGATTATTATAAATAACTGAGATTTTACTATAATAGATATAAACTTATTTTTTCTTCTATATAGTTATAATTTAGAAATTCTGAATTTCTCTGAAATTTTCTGAGAGATTATATACATCTACAGTTCTATATAAGTGATAGAGAATATAATTAGTAAGTTTAAGAAAGTCTGTGAATGAGTTGAAACTTCAATAATTAATATTCAATAGAATTATAAAAATCAAGTAAATATTAAGAGAAATTCTATAATCTGATATAATATAGAAGACAAAGTTTGACTAAATTTTAGAAATATAAAAATAGACTATCTCTTATATATACTGAATTATTATTATATTAAATATATAGTAGTAGAAGTATTAAATATTCATAACTATCAACTGAATATTCTGTCTGATATTTATAATATTTTTTATATAAATTTATTTCAATTTATAGCTGAGAATCTGTTTCTCTTGCAAAAGACTTTCAACTGACAATTATTTGTTATTATAAAAAAAGATAATAAATTTAAATAAAAAATTGAAGTAATTTTTAGTAACAGAATCAATTATTGCTACTGTAAATATTTTATCAAATAGATAGAATATAATTATTCAATCTGAGAATTTATATCTATTATAAAGAATACTGCTATACTCAATATCTACAAATTCTCATTTATTTCAATAGAAAGAGATAATATAATGAATTAGTATTTATTGATAGTTAATTTACACAATCAACCCTCTACTGTATATTTATATACTTATATATATTTATAAAATTTTTTCATATCTTTTTATAATTCTGTTTTATAATTGTATATATTTTGATACTCTAATAATTCTTCTACTCTGTGCTTCTTCAGAGTATAATTTTTAATATTTCTTTCACTTCAATTCTCTTATCTATAAAAACTCTCTTATATAATCTCTTCTTCTGATTTTCTTTCTCTTTCTTTTCTTAATTGATTCATAAACTGTTATTAGAATAGTGTTAAGTTTGTTGATAGTACTGTTGAAATGAATTGTATGAACTATATAGACAGTATGAATAGTTTAATCTGCAACATCAGTAATATCTGCTTAATTGATAGCATATCTATTACAAAAAGATGGAATAAAAATTCAAAAATAAAGAGATTTTATATGAGAATGCATAATCATCTATATTGTTTACTGCTGCTCATTATAGTTAATTGTATATCACTTACTATTCACTTTTGAATCTAGATTACTTTCTCAGATTAGAGATCCACTGCATCAGATTACAGTGAGTTACAGTTGAATATGGTTTAAAAAAAGTGGGTCAGAAAAATAAACCATACTGCTCAGTGCTTCACTCTCTCAATAAAATCTACACTCATTAAACATCTTTTATATACTCTCAGAATATATATTATTATCAGTTGTTATAGTTATTTATTATTCAGAGCTAGACTGACTGTGTGATTATATATAAAACTGAGATCAAATTTTTCCTCAGTTCTATTATTAGATATCTTAGTTCTGATTTCATATAGTATTTAGTAAATTAGTTACTTTACACTGTTTATATTATAAATCTAGTCTTAGATCATATTTTACTAATAAATTAGTGATTCTGATTCTATTTAATTTCATTTTACAAAATGAAATCAAATGAAACTATAATTTATTCTATATAGATTGACAGCAATAGATAGATTGACAGCAGTAGATAGATTGACAGCAGTAGATAGATTGACAGCAATAGATTAACAGCAATAAATTAGCAGCAATAGATTAGCAGTGATAGATTAGCAGTGATAGATAGATTGACAGCAGTAGATAGATTGACAGCAGTAGATAGATTGATGACAGTGAGTAGATTAACAGCAGTGAATAGATTGACAGCAGTACTAAGCAAAATAGAGATAATATCTCCACCAATCATATCATCAGATTGATGTATTATATAATTATCAGAATGAAATCAAACTTGAGTTAAAATTATAATCAGTCTCAGATTATGTTCTGATTTTGATAGTCAGTTATTTTATATAAAATATCAAGATTTTTTAGTTTCATTTTATTTATATTTTGATAATTCTAGTCACTTTACACTCTCATTCTGATTCTGATCTCACTAAAATCATGTCAAGAAATGAACTGAAATCAAATCAAATTAAATTAAATATATAATTCATGGTTTCAGCAGCCAGTCTATTCAGAGCTCTTCAATATTTGAAAAATAGTTATAAGTTAGAATTAGTAATCTAGAGTTAGGTTTCAGATTAGCTAAGAAATAAAGCTCTGAGAAATATGATAAAATCACTGTCTCTAGAGCATCTAGAGCATCTAGAGTATTCAGAGCATTTTAGAGAGACATGACTAGTGTATGTAGTTTTAATGAAGGGGTTGGCATGGTTTATGGTCAAAACCACACCAAAGGTTTATTCTAGCCCGGAAAATTAACCATGTTCAACTTTTTATTGACCACGTATGCCCCACTGCACATCTGGATAGACCAACCTTGATGATTAGTACAGGCGGCAGAAGGCGGCAGAATCCGCATTGGGTTAGTGCCAATTATGAGACTAAGAAAGTAATGTCCAATCACAACCTTGGAAATTGCTGCCTGAATCTCTGACTCACGTGACTTGTATCTTTGGATGCAGTGAACTCGCTAATCCTAATCTGGCAATAACCCGCTCGGATTTTCACAATTCCGGTTCCAATACAGGCTGCGTACAACCACCTCCCGTAATATACTCCCCAAATCCCCATCGTTGTCCCTGACCCCGCGGAAACTACCGCCGATTGCACCGTCAACTTTATTTCCACTCGGCGCACCGTTAAATACCGTATTCCGCCTGTACCACTTCGTTACCCAACCACCTTCATTCCTCATCAACTCCTCTTCTCCTCTTCCGCTTCTTTTCCTCACCAACACCATCACCAACACCATCACCACCACCTCCACTCTTCTGTATCTCAGTCCTCCTCTATCGGGGTCGCCCACTGACCGGCATCCATTTTCTACCTAGCGTCTATTGCCTCCTCTGTTGCCGTGCAAAAATGGGAATCCCGTAGGTTTTTTTTGGTGTCTTGCATGTCGCGGGCTAACTCGTGACTTCGTTCGCCTCCCGAGGTCTTGTTTGCATGGAATGTGTTGTCTCTAGCCGCCCAGTCGGCGCGACGCGCTGCGTAAAACCGTCCATCGCTCCTCTTCATCACCCAGCAACTCGAGAAATATACAATTGTAATATTTCATTATTTCACTATATACTGACTTACCGATGTGCTCTATTGTTTAGGCTCCACTGGGAGCCGCCTACTCGCTCCCCCGCTGCCAGCGATGCCCATGCTAAACGCGACCCGCTAGCACCCTCCCGCTCCGCTATTCGGCGCCAACGGACAGTCCGCCGTTCTCACAGGAACAATAATGGATCAAACAGTGCTTCTTCAAATCGGCCTGGCTATGTGCCTTTCCGCTCCTCAATGCCTCATTGGGTAGAGAACCTTGGTCGCCAAGTGATTGGGGACGGTACTGCTCCTTCTGGCGCTCCGACAAGAAGTACAAATACAACCACCAACGAGCCAGGTACCTCACGTTATGCCTCCCAGGATAACGAGTCTCGCCTGGACTGGCCTGCTTCCAGCTCATACTCACCCCAAACGAGACGAGATCTAGTCGACCGGTTGGCCCGAACCAGTGCCATACGTTATTCTTCCCCCAGTCGTCGCATCAGGATCCCACGAGAGTCCTCCTTGAGGATCGAGATGCTCCAACCGCCTTCGTGGCCTCCTTCAGACGAACCACCCCGCAGGTCGGAGTCGAGCAGTAATACAACCGCCGATTCCCGCGTGGACAACCGTCTTGCAGATATGGCCTCATACAGTCCTAGATTTGCACCGGCTTACCCGTCACATAGTAATGAGCGTGCGTTGCTATCGTCAGATAGTTACGATTCTAACATGCCATTGTTGCGAAGAGTCGGCCTTCGCTCCATCGCGGAAACAAACAATGTAGATGCCACTCGCCATCGTCACATCATCGATGGACTTGGCGATCGCGATCGTAGCTTTAGCCCTAGCGGCGAAAGCCATCACGACGACCACGACAACAACGATCCTGATGATGATGATGATGATGATGATGATGGCGATGACGAACCTAACATGTGGGAATCTCTGTTCACCACCATCACACCAGATGATCAGCTCCCAACCCTCGACTCCTCTTTCACCTCCGCCACCGCATCTGCCTCCACGGCCCCGTCCCGCAGCTCAGCTAATTCGTCACAATTAACTCTCCCTTCCTCTTTGGACTCCAACAATATCCAATCTCGACTGGACGTCCTAGCTCCCCTTGAACCATTCACAGACCACACCAATCATTGCGATTTCTTCTCATCGTCCGAAGGCTCTGATACGGAACCGGAATCGGACATGGAGCACGAACCCACCTGGCGACTCTTGGGGCGTACCAACCGTCCAAATCCCACCCGTTTATCAGCATCAATGGCAGCACTCGAAGATACCATCCAATACCAACAGCAGCAGCAACAGCTACGGCGACAACGAGAAGAAAATCTACTCGGAATGACCCGGACCATCCGATCTGTAATCGCAGAGGCATCCGCAAACCGCAATACAAACCGCAACACAAACACGGCCTCCCACCCCTCATCATCAACATCCCCAACGTCCCCAACATCCACCTCTACACCCACATCCATCAACATCTCCTTCGGCCAGAGCAGCTCCATGGAAGACCTCCAGCAGGTCCAAACAATCATCGACCAGCTGACACGCAGGCAAGATATTGATGACGAGTGGTGGGCCGCTGTAGGGTTGTCGCGGAATTTGGGAAGGGGTGTTACCGATGTTCCTGCCAGGAATGGGAATGAAAATGATGGTGAGAGTGGTGGTAATAGGGATGCACGGGAGCGATAACCCGAATCTATCTTTTCTTCTTTCCTTTTTTTCCCCCTGATATGCTTGTTCATATCATGGGCAATCATGGGGTATGTTTTGAGAAGGGTATATGTATGGCTTTGGGCTAAGGCTTGCATTTTTGATTTGGATCTTGTCATTTGGTTATTTATTTTCTTTTATCTGGTGCTATTTTTCGCCTTTTCCATGGGCTTTGGCTTTTTCTTGTAACAATGTTTCTTTTCGGGGTATTTTCTTTTCGCTTTCATTTTCTGTTACCAATCGTCGGGTCGTCTTGCTTCCATTTTCCATCAATGTATTACTTTTGTCTTATTTCGTTTTGTTCCATTTACTTTATTTGTTTTCAGCTTGTGTCGTTGCTCATGTCATCTTGTGCTTCATGCTAGCTATGGGCATTTGTCTTTTTGTCAGGTCAGTGCAGTCCATTATCAAGGATAAGGATTTGATTTATATACATCATGGAAGGGGAATGGGAAATAATAAAAGTGGCGTTTTTGGTTTGTCTATTTGTTATTTTTGGTCTTTTCTATATTTTTCTTTTTCTCTTTCTTTTTCTTTTTCTTTTCTTTTTTTCCCCTGCAAAAGGTTCGATTCTTTCTCATGTTCTCTGAATGACCCCAAACCTTCGTTTTCTCTGTTATATTTCCTTTCCCCCGCCTTTCATGGCCACCAGGCTTTTTCTCATTACGGTGTGTCTCCGGTGCGGTTCTTTTCTTTATCATCCGCTGTGCGAAGATGTTACGGTTTATATTATATATATAGTGTATGTCACGGCCTGGTCTGTTGCCCCTTTTTTATATTTTATTTTCTTCCTCGGCTCTTTATTTGTGCCAGTTCTAAATTGATTGACACGAGCACATTGCAATGCGAATTTAGAATGTTATTCCCTCCGCTCTCTTCCTTTCCCTGCTCCTATTTCTCCTATTTCTTTAGAAAGAGACTGTCACCGTTTTTATTTCAACGGGATTTGCGATAATGGTTGGATGGAATGTATTCTACTCTTAACTCAGTGTTTCCTTGCAAGGCTGCGAATTGGGAGGAGTTGGACTGAAAACCAAACACTCAAAAGTAGAGACCGATACGAGATACGACACTGGTATGGACTCGTTGATCAAGCAGCCTGCATCGATCGTATCTGCCGTGGGCACTGAGTCTCTCTGCTGATCAAAGAGCTCGCGCAACCGCGACTCCCCTTACGCAAACTACACACACATCCAATCAGGCCCTGGACATGTGGATCTTGGGCCTAGCAATCATGTTTGCTGCACCGCTGGTCAGTACCTGGACAACATTTTCTCAATGGCAACATGGATATCGACTGTACCGCCTCTCACAGGGTGGAGGCAAAAAACATTGGCGTCGTAGTCCGCCTACATGCTCCTCTACCTGGTTGCTTCCGGGCTCGTCGCCGAAACCCAGATGAAGGACAAGATGCTAATTTTGGACCTTCTAGGCACAAGCTCTGAAGAAGAACAGGCCACCCCCCCGGCTTAAGATCCTGAAGAGGGTAAGGGTAGTTTATGGCCAAATTTGTACCGCAAATCACGCCGTGTTTTGTTGTTCCGGGACCGACAATATATGGAGCTCGTGAAGGCTGCACCGCACAGACAAAGACGCAGAAGACTTACCTCTGGAAAGGCCTTGATCATCTCCAATATCCTGCTCACTGTCTTTCTCTAGAACGTTCAATTCAGCCTCGGTTGCTTTGCGTAGAAGTATTTTTCATGGTGAATGTGGATGCCTTTTTGGAAAATAGAAACTATCCAACGTAGAGGAGTATGGAGTGAGTCCTATTGTGGAACGTTTTAACTTCTCGATTTTGGCTAGGCTTCGCTGCTGGCATCATATTTACACCCATGTGCAGTACATCCCTCCAGCGCCATTGGAGGAAACCAGGTGGGTTTATTGTGATGCCGTGGCCCGGTTGTAACTGTACATTCCTATGCGGGCAGGTAAATAACCTCGGGCGGGCAGATGGCTTTCTATCCAGAGCAGCTGGAGTGGCGAACAAGGACTCATTTGAGCGAGGCGGCAGATTGTGTGGTATGCGAGTTGCATTAAATTGAAGCCCTTGAGCACAGGCAAACATGGACGGACTCCAAACACCGTTACTATGTACAGTACACAGTGGACAGGGTCCATCCAGTACCGATCTCGATCAGCCTCAAGGGCTTCCGCCGAGACTCCGTCCTCTTTTTAAGTGGCGTCGCTTCTCGGGCTTTGCTACGGGCCGACCTAACGAATTCAGGGATGAAACACTATGGTGGTTCGGTGACTTACATAGTAGCCCAGCCTGCCCGAGAAATGGCACCTAAACTCTAAGTGATATAAACAAGGGTTGTCGAATACCCCATTGGCAGCGCAGTTTAAGCTTGTTTTGGCAACGTTAGTCTTGGGTATTTCATTTTGTGAGACCTAGCCATCATAATGCAGGGCAAGAAGACTCAGGGCCAACAGCAGGCCGGCGAAGAAATTTTAAAATCAGCGGGGGAGGGGCGTGTCTGTGACGCCGGATGGACATATAAAAGTGGATGCTTGCCTATGTGGCTTCCACTATTCAGTCAATCTCCTTCCTCCCTTTCGCCGCGTCTATTTTTCTCCTGCATTGCCTGCTTGACTGGTGATAATAGCTATTTTCATACGGATTTACACCTTGTTCCTCTGTTCGGTTCTACTGTGTGAACGAGTCGCATCCTCAAATCAGCAAAAGAGAAGACAAGCAACAGACGATATATAACTAGTTACCATACAGCCATGATGATGAAATCAATATTCTGCACGCTTTCACTAGCAGCATTGGGCATGGCGCAATCATCTACAACGGCTGCGCCTCCAACGACTACCACGACTGGCCCTGTCACTGTCTTCCAAGTCATTGTCCCCGCCGCAACTCCTGTACCGAGCGAAGCATCCATCATTGGCGTCGTACGTATATGTCACCTGTACCATGTATTCTTTCTCACGCTCCGCCATGGCCATTTTCTCTTTATATGGGACAAAGGCGGCATCTAAAATGCAAGCAAACTGATCATACGTCTCCCCATTCCTCAGCGCAACGATGCTATTACATTCGGCATAGATGTCGACTGCTTGCCAAATTTCGCAAACGGCCGTTGTGAACCAATTTCGGGCTTTGAAACCGTTACAATCATACAGGGCCCCAAGACTTACTCGCAGTCTGTCTCAATGTCCGGAGCGTGAGTTTCCCGTCTCCTTCTTCTCTTGCTTCTGATTTAAGCATCCTCGTTCCTCAAACAAGAAACCCCGCTTGAGGAGAGAGGGCGGGGTGAGAATTCCATTTTATACCAACCAATAATGAACTATAACATCCTACTATCTCTTGCATACCTGCTCACTTTCATTCTAGATTCGTCGACGCTGCTTGCTCCCTGAGCGGCACCACAGTAGCAGATTGCATATTGAAAGTGGAATCGGGTAAGATAAAAGGCGAGATCTCCACTAAATTGACTGGATCGCAAATTGCGACCGCATTCGCCACTATCACGGCCACGGCCGGTATCGAGAAGCTGGCCAATGTACCGCCAAATGCTGCGCCGAAGGCCACTGGGAACGTCAACTGGGCGATTGGCGGGGCCGCTGCGGCGCTTGCGATGGTTGCTGCCCTATAAGCAGATGGGTGGAGGTGATATTCTTTTTCTTGATAAAAAAATAACAATTAATAAAAATAATAACAATTACCCACTTTCAGTGGGTATATATACTTGATTTGTATATGTCTCCTTGGGTTCTGTTTATGTTCCTTTGACCTGTTTCAGGGTTTCTTATGCATGAACCCGGGGGGGGGTAAATGCGCCGAACAATGAAGTATAGCAGGGGATGGGTTCTTCTTCCTTCATAGCCTGCGATATTTCGGGATAGATGTTTCACAGCAGACCGGCGAGAGGATGGGATAAAAGGTTGCATGCAATCTTCGAATATTCCGCCTAAAAGCGCGCGCACTCCGACCCTTCTCCCCCCCTCCCCACTGACTAATTTCGATATAGCCGAAATGTCCACATGGAGGTCCCTATACAGTATCTCTTAGTATAAATAAAACTAGCCCACCTGAGCTGGACCGCAAAGGAAAACCTCACTCGTCAGGCCTAACAACTTACTATTGCCCACGTACAGTACATATGTAATTTACTATCCTGTTTCTGTATATTCTGGGACAGTCCACACAAATGTCGCTAGCTGCCGTAGGTCCTCTTGAGTTAAAACCAAATCCGACTCTTGAGACGTGGGACTCCGCAGGAAGATCTTTTCAAATGGAATAGTGATGGCACCATCAGCCTGCGAGGTTGATTGAACGCAGGCACTTTCGATCAGTTGGGGAACGCTTCCCTTGTATAAGATTTGTCCTGTTGGTCTCTGACGATTCTCCCATTTCCCATCTTCCAAGGGAAGTTTGTCTTTGGTCCTCTCGATACCTATTGTAATGACCGCCCCAACGTGTCCCCTAGATGCTTCCAGCCACCAGCTTGCATCACATTCAAGCTGAGCTTGAGACTCTGGGTACCCCACTTCCAACACACAAGAGTAGGCCATTGGCAAGAACTTCCTTCAGGTAATCTGATCGGCAGCCAGGACCTGTCTGGGGCCTTTTTCCGCTGAGATATTTCAACATCACTAGAATGAAGATTTCTCAGATGGGAAGAGCCGGTGTTCATTCTTGCCAATTTTTGTGTATCGAGGTCACCAAAGGCTGAAATAGCTGCTTCATGCGATCTGGAAGGCATTTGTAAAATAAGCACTTGATTTATTCTATCATAGCTGAATAAAAGCTTCGCAATGTCTCCATTCTTTTCAACTTGTTGCTCACATGTAGCTCGCGAGACACATGAGAGTACCATGAAGGGGCTTTCCCAAAAGTGAATGATTCCTTCCATGTCCTTTACCTTTCCTTTGTATTTGTATTCACTCGTGTTGCTAGGATGATACTTCGTTGTCCATTGCCTGACAGTTCGGGCCGACAGTAGCTCCGCCGCGCCGGCATCTTCCCGTGTGACTTAATACAAACGTGGGGCGGCCCGGAGCATTCCCAGGCTTGCGTGGGATTTCCAGTTAACGGAGGGGTCTACTCCGGACATTATGGGGCCCCTTGGAGGCACGAGTGGCCTGCAGAACATTCTATATACCAATGGTCGCTGTCGCATTATTTTGCAAGAAATAATATGTCATTGATTTCTCTCTTTGTGGTTTGGTGATGCTTGCTCTTTCTTCAAATTTGCTTATTCCTGTGCCGCCTCAACATCGTGCGCCAACTTCCTTGTACGCCCGATTGATTTACTATATTTGAGCGAAAATTTACTTAAGCACATATCGCCCTTTGGAAGAAGAGTAGTGTGTATCTAGAAGGATGGAAGAGCAGGTCAGCAGGCTCGTTGACAAGGCATGGGGTAAGTTTCGAACACAACAACCCCATTTCCAAACACCCCCTTCCAAAACCTGTATGTACTATAGGGATCTAGAATATTTCCCTGGGATAACCTTACGTATACGCAGCCAAATTCCTTTCCACTCCACCCTCCGCGCGTCTCATGATTGCCATCAGTGGCATTCCGGGCTCCGGCAAGACTACCCTAGCAACCACCATGGCCAGACGACTAAATCAACGCTACTCCTCTACTTACCCCGACGTAACCGCGCCCATTGCAACCTCAGTTTCAATGGACGGCTATCACCTCTCCCGCGCCCAGCTCGCTGCGATGCCAGAACCTGCCTATGCGATCGCCAGACGTGGCGCAGCATTCACCTTCGACCCCGCGAAATTCCTCCGACTGGTGCGTGCGCTGCGGGAACCGCTGGTTCCGGATTCCCGCACGCTGTACGCGCCTAGTTTCGACCATGCCGTCAAGGACCCCGTGGAGGATGACGTGCCCATCCCCGCGACGTCGCGGGTGATATTTTTCGAGGGAAATTATCTGAGTCTTGGTAAAGAGCCGTGGAAGGAGGCGGCGGCGCTGATGGATGAGTTGTGGTTTGTTGAGGTGGATTTTGAGACGGCGCGGAAGAGATTGGTTGCGAGGCATGTTAGGGCTGGAATTGCGAAGGATGAGGAGGAAGCGGATCGGAGGGCGGTGGAGAATGATTTGGTTAATGGGAGGGAGATTGTGGATTTTCGGCTGGATGCGCAGGAGGTTATTGTGAGTCGAGAGGACGAGAGCTGGAAGCCCTGAGGGGGAATGGGAGAGCGTGGGAGTGAGTGTGAGTTTATTAATGGGTTGGATTCAGTTCAGCTCCCGTTCAGCTGTTTTCGAATCCCGCGATTAAAAGTGTTGCATGGTGATTATTTCTCTAGCTATTGAAGCATGAAGCGATGTTATCCATGGATTTTATGCGAGAGTCATGTGAAGGATTGTTTCATTGAAATAACAATGATGATGTTCTTTTTGCCGGGAATTAGGATCCAAAGATGTCGTATGTTCCACATTTTGGAAGAACATTTCGTCGTCTATCTATTGTTGACGCACAATGCATAGTACACATCTTGTCCAGCCCTGAAGCTCAACATCAAAAATCCGGAGTAGGCCAGTCTAAACCGTATTGGGCTGCGATGGCTTGGCAGGGACCACATCCTGAAACAGCGTTGGCCCTTTTGACATTTGCTCTTTGGAAACCTTTATTCCTTCTCTTCTTGCAACCCATTTTAACCGAGTCACTCCTTGCCTACTCTCTCTAAGTTAGTTTAATACTTTCTGCTAGCTTCACATTCATTTTTCGTTTCTCAGTTCTTTTGCAACCTTCGACGACTTCATTTCGAATCAAACAGACCTTCGAGGACACCAACCAACATCGAATAATTTCCAGTTACGATCGCTATCTATCAATTCCCCCCCTGAAAAAGACAGCCAACATGTTCGCTTCTAAATTTGTCTTCTTTGCTGCTCTGATGGCGGTATTCACCGCTGTCATTGCCGTGCCGCCTGGATGTCTTATCGGAGCTATCAAGTACGTTGTGAAGGCTAAACCTCCCGAATATTCTCCACAAGAAAAAGAAGAAGGCGCCCGAAGGAAAAGACCCTAGTTTCAGAGAACGAGGGAGTGGCAAATCCAGAGTTGGAACTCGTAGCTAATGACTCGCTGCAATATAGCACCCAAAAGGACCCCGGCAACCTCAAGGCTGTCTGCAGCACCGAGGATGTCCAGCGCGAAATCGTGAAAATGTGTCCAGAAGACACCGTCAAGGCTGCTCTGAAATCGTTCTCTGACTCGTGCGCCGAAGCTGGTCAGAAAGTCTGTACGTTGCTGCTCACCCTCACTCATTTCTACACTTCTTTACCGGACGGGTATTCTTAACAGTATGGATCACGAGTTAGCGCTAACAAACGGTCCTGCATTGCTATAGCACTCATCGACATCAACAAGCCAACCGGTACCTCTGGCGCATCAAATGGTGGTGACAATGGCGGCAGCAATCCCACTTCCACCTCTTCGGGTTCCCATTCCACTGGTACATCCGCCGGATACGTACACAATATTGACTCCTTCACCGTCGCAGCCGTTGTCGTCCTCGTTGGACTGGTCTCGAGTATGTAGAAAGAGATGGATTAACACATTAAGCAGGCGAACACTCCGGTCCCGTATGCGTATATCAGATAATCAGATGACTATTTTTGTGGGTTCTCGTCTTGCGCTCTCTTAAACAGGGAGGGGAAAGGCTAAAAGACCTTTTTTTTTGTTGTGTGTTTGTGTTTTTATAGACGGGTTCAATGTCGCTTTTTTCCCCTTTACCTTGCAATTCAAGATTCCATATTTTGTTCGTGTGGGGTTGCATGTTTGGGCATTGCAGATTACCCTATCTTCCGCAGCCATTTTGATACCACTTTGCCAAACCCGAGATATTTTTGCTGGCTTCTCTTGTATGCTCATCAATTTTTCAGCATGTGTATTCGAAGTCCATTGATATCCATACAGTCCAGTCCATATGTAGAATTAGATAAGAGTTGAAACCTGTGTCAGACAATCAAGGTCACCACCTGTGAAGCTGCAATTTAATAGCGTTCTAACTGTTAACTCTCCTGCCTGCTGCACTCTGTTTTGCCACGTGATCGCTCTCAGCGCCCAATTAAGGAAAACCACGCCAACCTAAATCGCGTCTCCCTCCAAGCACGGGAACGCGTCTTGCTTTGAAAGCAAATTCTTCCTCCTCCCCACCACCATCATCCTCTGCAACTTCTCCTTCAACCTCGTCCTCGTCCTCGTCCTCGTCCTCGTCCTCAATCCTCATACCCTATACTTGTTTCGCTTCTTATCTTCCTATTCTCCATTGTTTATATCATATCTGCCTTCCGCACCATCTGCTTTTTTGGAACAGATTCATCGCCTTTTCCCCTCCATCCTTCTCAAACAACTCAGAGTCACTAGGTATCTTGTACACGACTTTGAAACAATTCAATAGAGAACGGGCTTCAAGATGTTTGTTTATAAAAGAGGTGAGTTCGGCGATCTGCCTTCTCCCCCCTCATGTTGGGCTGTATTTTCTTGCAGATGTTTCCTTGTCGTCTTCATTGGTGTTCTTCTGACTGCGAACTGAGGGCTCGCACTGACATTCATACAAATATAGATGGACGTAAGGAACGGGTGCAGTTCGACAAGATCACAGCTCGCGTATCTAGGCTCTGCTATGGCCTGGATCCGGAGCATGTCGATGCTGCAGCTATCACCCAGAAGGTCATTTCTGGGGTTTATCAAGGAGTAACGACTGTCGAACTCGACAACTTGGTAAGAACACTCCCAATCAATTGCATTTATCCCGAGGAATCCTTTCTGACTGTGCTTTTCTCATATCTGTGTACAGGCAGCTGAGACTGCTGCGTATATGACCGTAACCCATCCAGATTATGCCACCCTTGCTGCCCGGATAGCTGTATCCAACCTCCACAAGCAAACGAAGAAACAGTTCTCTTCCGTGATAGATGATCTGTACCATTACCACAACCCGAAAAACCAACGACCTGCCCCGATGATATCGCAGACTACGTACGAAACAGTGATGCGTCATGCAGATGAATTTAATTCCGCTATTGTCTATGATCGTGACTTCAACTACCAATACTTTGGATTCAAGACTCTGGAGCGGTCTTATTTGCTTCGAATTAACGGCAAAGTTGCGGAACGCCCGCAACACATGATCATGCGTGTTGCTGTTGGCATCCACGGAGATGATGTAGAAAGAGTCATCGAAACATATAATCTCATGTCCCAGAAATTCTTCACACATGCTTCTCCAACCCTTTTCAATGCTGGTACCCCTCAGCCTCAGATGGCTTCTTGTTTCCTAATCGACATGAAGGAGGATAGTATTGAGGGTATTTATGACACTTTGAAGACTTGTGCTTTGATTTCAAAAACTGCTGGTGGTATTGGTCTCAACATTCACCGCATTCGTGGCACTGGCTCTTACATAGCTGGAACAAATGGGTCCTCAAATGGAATCGTTCCTATGCTCCGCGTTTTCAACAACACTGCCAGATATGTCGACCAGGGTGGCAACAAGCGGCCAGGAGCTTTCGCTATTTACCTAGAGCCATGGCACACCGATATCTTTGAGTTTTTGGATCTTCGTAAGAACCATGGCAAGGAAGAAGTCCGGGCTCGCGATCTCTTCCTTGCTCTCTGGACGCCTGATTTGTTTATGAAGCGTGTTGAGCAAAACAGCGAATGGACTCTGTTTTGCCCCAATGAAGCACCAGGGTTAGCTGATGTCTATGGCGACGAGTTTGAGGCACTTTACGAAAAGTATGTTTCAGTACAACCAGAACCAAGTGACCATACAAAAGTAACTGACCTGACTCCTGGTATATAGGTACGAAAAGGAAGGCAGAGGCAAGAAGACTGTAAAAGCCCAGAAACTCTGGTACGCCATTCTTGAAGCTCAAACAGAGACAGGAAACCCCTTTATGCTTTACAAGGACTCTTGCAACAGAAAGAGCAACCAAAAGAACCTGGGCACAATTCGAAGCTCTAATCTATGTACTGAAATCATCGAATATTGCTCACCAGATGAAGTTGCGGTTTGCAACTTGGCATCTATTGCGTTGCCCACTTTTGTTGATCCTATCCGGGGAGAGTATGACTTCGGCAAACTCCATGAAGTAACTCAGGTTGTTGTTCGCAATCTTAACAAGATCATTGATCGGAATTACTATCCAGTTGAGGAAGCGAAACGAAGCAACTTCCGTCATCGTCCCATTGCTTGTGGTGTACAAGGTCTTGCGGATGCTTTCCTTGCTCTGCGACTTCCATTTGATTCCCCTGAAGCAAAACAGTTGAATATTCAAATTTTTGAAACAATTTACCACGCAGGATTGACTGCATCCTGCGAGTTAGCGAAGATTGATGGTCCATATTCCACATATGAAGGCTCCCCGGTCTCTCAAGGTATTCTTCAGTATGATATGTGGAATGTTACTCCAACCGACCTTTGGGATTGGGATTCATTGAAACAAGATATTGCAAAGCACGGAGTGCGTAATAGTTTACTTGTTGCGCCCATGCCTACTGCCAGCACCAGCCAGATTCTTGGGTTCAATGAATGCTTTGAGCCCTATACCTCTAATATCTACTCTCGCCGTGTTCTTGCTGGTGAATTCCAAATTGTCAATCCATGGCTCCTGAAAGACCTTGTGGACATGGGTCTCTGGTCTGACAACATGAAAAATCGTATTATTGCAGAGGGTGGCTCAATTCAAAATATTCCCAACATTCCCCAGGATATCAAAGCACTTTATAAGACTGTCTGGGAAATATCTCAGCGAACTATTGTCCAGATGGCTGCTGATCGCGGTGCATTTATCGACCAATCCCAGTCGCTAAATATCCATCTGAAGGAGCCCACCATGGGCAAGATTACCAGCATGCATTTCACTGGTTGGAAACTCGGCTTGAAGACCGGAATGTATTATCTCCGTACAATGGCTGCCTCTGCTCCAATTCAATTTACTGTGGACCAAGAACAACTCAAAGTTGCGGACACGAACGTTGCGCGCGTCAATGGTGCTCTGAAAAAACGAGGTGGTGTTTCCCCCAGCTCTGCCAGCGCCTACTCCTCTGTTCCTCGTCCCATGTATGATCAAATACAGGACGATGACCAGGCATCATCCTTACCTCAAGTGGGCACGATAACCGTTGACATTTCCTCAACGCCTGCTGCTTCCCAGCAAAGTACTGTGTTGGCATCATCGGAAGGTACGAAGGCAAAGGCCAATGGATCTGATGATTCCACAAAAGAAGAAACCGACGGCCAGGGGGAGACCGAGGCCGATATATATTCGCAGAAAGTTATTGCTTGTGAGTTGTTTTTTTTTTCTTTTTCTTTTGTTTTCATTTCTTTTTGCTTTTACCATTGCTTGGTCCCGACCTGATTGATGCTAATGAACCTATAACCCAACGTCAGGCAGTATCGAAAACCCAGAATCCTGTGTGATGTGCAGTGGTTAAACGAGACGGGGTCTGCATTCCCTATAGTTGATAGGGCATGTACAATTCAAATGCCCACATATCACTCAGAATTTTATGAACTGGACTATCTGGTAATGGGACTATACTCATCATCCAGATATTGATCGATTAAATAATATTTCTTTTCCATTTACTTCTTTCTCGTTTCCTTTGTTCTCTTTTCGTAATATTATCGTCTGCGTTTTGCCCACACAACCCACCTTTATTTTGCCGTATGCCACATCGTCACCATAATGATGTTGCTGATGGATATGTATGAGCTCTTTTTCCATTACGTTGTCTCATGTTTTTTTCTTTTTTTCTTCCTTCTGGACTTCGCTATAAATTTTTTCCAATCCGTGGCACCGTTATAGGATTTGTCCTCCGGTTTTCTATACGAAACCACCCCTTTCGCCATTTATATATATCTTTGCATTGCCGCTCGTCTCCGCCCTTATGGTTACATTTTTCTAGTTTTATTGTTGCTATTTTTTTTTTTTATTGGTCTTTTGCTCCTTATTTGCCTATGTTCAATATCAATTTACGTTTCAAAATATGTATTACCATTGTAAATTTGTTTGTGAGGTGCAGGAGATAATCTTGTTTCTTTGCATCGATATGCAGGGGTATTTTCTCACCGAGGGCGGAGTAAAAAAAAAAAATAAAAAGCGACGGAAAGCGAAAAAGGGGCTATCAAGCAATTCTAGTAATATGTATGGTTGTAGACTCAGCACAGCGAGCAAGAATACCAAGTTCGCCAGCCAGGTTAACCGTAGCATCTGACTTCATTCTAGAGCAAAGTCAACCAGATCGATCGATATTCAGAAAAAGTTAGTTCCAAACGGCATGAAAACCCTAACCCTCTGGATATCTGCCTGGCCATTGCTTTCTTCTTCTATGTGCAGTGCATGGACGGGAATACAGTACAAGTACTACCCCCCTACCCCCCTGCGTCAAGCAAGCAAACAATAGACAAAGCAAAGCAGAACCGAGAATCGGCTTTGTATGTATGTAGGGGGGCGAATGTCTGGCTTGCCGCTCTGCTCTGCTCTGCTCTGTTCTGCGGACGGGGTGGGTGGGTTGTGGGTTGTGGGATCTTGCAGGTTAATGCACGATACGCCGGGTACCTCACATGCCGCATGCACAGACAGCAGACAGCAGTATGGGGTTGTGTGTGGTGTGTGGTGGGTTTGGGGAGAGCACGCTCCCTTTCTTTGTTTGTTTCCTGATGGGGTTTTTTTTTTTTTTTTTTTGGTGGGGGAGGGGGAGAGGTGGAGGAAACCCTGTGCTGTATGACGACTTACTGCCAACTAGTTACAAGGCACAGTACTCTTGTAGTTAAGAGTAACTAACCAATTCCGATCCGTTTTTCACTCCCTGAACCGGCTCGGCTCAACTCAGCCCAGCCCAGCTTAGGCCCAGCCGAACCAACCAACCAACCGGCAGAAAGAAGGAATGGAATGGAATGGAATGGGTCATGAAAATGAAAATGAAAATGGAAAATAATGAGAATGGTACATGAATGTTAAAAGGCTTGTTAAAGGAGTAAGGAGAGGAGGGGGAAAGGAACTTTGCAAATTCCTTTTCCCCCCCTTGTTGATTTCGTCTGTATACAACAGTAGTTTATCACTCATTCAACATTCAACATTGATTGTGATTGATCTATATTGGTATATTGCTCTGTGTATATGTGTGTGTGTGTGTGTGTGTGTGTGTATGGGTCCACCCACATTTCCCCCCCCCTTTTTTACTTGTTCCAGGATTCGCACAGACTGAAGCATTTCTGGAAACTGGGTTGGAAAATCGAGGAGAAAAAGAAAAAGAAAAAGAAACAAAAACAACTAAGATTTCTAATAGATAGCCCGAGTTGGTATCAAGCAAGTTTCTTAAAAAACGAGGATGGTGTAAAGTTTGGTATCAAGGTTCCCCGTTCTCCCTGTAAACTAACTAATTGAACCACCATTCAACACCGGGAAGACGGCCTTCACCCATACTGGCACTGTACAGATGAAAAGTCAGTTGTCATTTTATTGAACATGATGTCAGAAAAAAAGGGGACCTGCAGACTTACAATTGAGTGAAGAGATGTTCTGTCATATCAATAGAACCGCCCTTCTATAAAATCAAAAGCAAAGAATGAACTAGAGTCTGAAAGCAATATCACTCATATATATATATATATATATTTTTTCCCTCAAAAGAGAATATGGGAGAAGGGTGACACTTACACAGCCCATGCACTTATCTTTCACCATGGCTGAAACTGTTTTGCCGCCGTATGTGATGGTCACCGTCTTCCCGCAGTAGGGATTGGAATTACTGAGATCTCCCATGAGACCAACTGGCATAGCAATTGCGTCCTCATCCTTGGTGGCAACATTGGTGCCACAGGAGCCCAGACCCCCGCCGTAAAAAGTCATATCGCCACTGCAAGGAGAACCTTTGGTGCATGGCCCACCGCCACCGCTTGGGGGAGAGGTTGGTGGGGTCGATGGGTTTGAAGGAGCTGGAGCCGGAGGGGAAGGAGGAGGTGGTGGAGGAGGAGGAGGAGGAGGAGGTGGTGGTGGTGGTGGTGATGGTGATGGTGATGGGGGTGATGGGGGTGGTGGTGGTGGTGGTGGTGAATATGAGAGAGGAGGCGAGGGAGATGGCGGTTGAGCAGTAACTGTAGGGACATTAGGATAAGGTGTGACTGAAGGGTTTTGATTGAACTGTGCGGGCAAAACATGTAGAGTGGTAGTAGTAGGTGTTGGGTATCCGGTTGAGTTGGCTGTTCGGACCACGGCCGGCGAGGAATAGCCAGTAGGGTAGATTGTCTTCGGCTCTCCTGGTATGCCATCAACGGTAGCGGTGGTCACAACGGTCTCCGTGACCACCTCAGTGACGATCTCCACCACCACGTTCACGGGAGCCGCGATGGGGGTAGCGGCCAAGAAGCCCACGGCAAAAGTCAAATACTTAAGGAGACTCGGAGCCATATTCGTTTCGTTTCCTTTTTTTCTTTTTTTCTTCTTTTTTTAATATATATGTATATATATGATATATAAAACAAATCAACAAGAAAGAACGAGCGCTATCAAAGCGCAATGGAATCGACTGGTGGGTGCGCGCGTCGGCGATGTTCCCCTAGGACAGACAGACTTAGAGGTCGATTGAGTTTCAAATTTGCAGAGGGAGCGGAAGGACCTCAGAGAACTAGCTCTGAAGCGCGAGCAAGAAGCAGAAATAGCTATGTGCGCGAATCAATGCTGAAGCAGCATGTATTGTATATAATTTGTATTCTGAATGAACGGAATCGAGCCAGGCGATTCAGGAGCAGCACAGCGGACGACAAATCCGGACAGGACAGGGACGTAGGGGCTGCTCGGCAGCCTTTGAAGGAGTGAAGAATTGGCTGCAGGAATGATTTCCTTTCCGAGACCCAGTTAAGGAGCGACAAAAGGGTCTAGGATATCGAATGTCGACGGCGGTAATGAAGGGATGTTCGACTGGTGCGTGTTTGGAGAAACCCCCCAAAAAATTGAGTGAGGGCAAGTGGGCGTTTTTAAGGCCCAAGAGGAGGCAGCCCGAGGTCGTCGACACAAGGAGTGAATGGGAGTCGAGTGGAACCACGGGAGGCGAGTGGGTAGGTTAGGTTAGGCACAAGAAAGGAAGGGCATGAGAAGAAGACGTATTCTCAGAGGATGGAGAGGGGAGGCGAGGGAGAGTGGAGGTGAAAGAGAGGATGAAGGTGTGAAGGTGAAGGTGAAGACACTCGGGAAAAGGAGGAGAGAGAACGAGCCGGGCACGAGCCTAGGCTTTGTCCCAGGCCCGGGGGCCCAGCGCCCAGGCCCCGGCGGACCACAGGGGGCAGCCGAACCCCTGGCAGCCCGGCGACCAGGGGCTCCCACTGGCTGGCTGGCGGTGGCTCCAGTGGCTCCAGTGGCTCCAGGCGTGGCTCCAGGCGTGGGGCTGCAGGCGTGGCGGCGGTGGCTGCGACGTGGACGGGCATGACAGGACGGGCGATGACAGCAGCGCACTTCCCGTCACCCGATGAGATCGAGCGTGGATCTTGAATCTGCCCTCTTTCCTGGGACAAGGTGGGCGAGCGAGATTCGTGGACCAGAATACAGGTTACAAGGGGAGGGAAATGTTGCTTGTTTTTTAGTTTTCTTTAGTTTGCTCTTAGTTTTCTTTTAGGCTGTTTTAGTCTGTGTTTCTTTATTTTATTTTATTTTATTTCGTGTTTGCCATTCGTTCTGAAAGAAAAATTCTACGCAGTGTTATCCCGTCGAGGTACGGCGTGGCACGGTTGCAGCCGTCGCAGACGTGGCAGACCGGCAACGGCAACAGCTCACCGTCTTTCATTGTTATATAACTAAAGGTTGTACTTTATACTGGTATGGACTCCCGTGGAGAATTCCTTTCCCTTTATTTTCTTTGTTGTGCTGTGTTGTGACGCTGCGAGTCGTGACTGGCCGTTTCCCCTGTTTCCCCTGGCGCGTTCTCCCGGCTCACCCAGCGCTACCTTGGGTGAGGCGCTGCTAGCCAGGCACACCGCACACCTGTTCCTGAGCTAGTGGCTGGATCCGGTGGTGAGAAGGTTTGGAGAGGTTGAAACGGGGCGGCCTGACAAACCGCGCTACTGCGTAGATGGCCGTGCCATTGGTCGGAGAAGAGGAGTATTTTTTTTCCTTCTTTTTTTCGATCTGTTCAAAAATCTTCTCTCACAGCAGTATTCTCCCGGTTGTATTTCAACCGGCCCAACCATCCTCCAACACCGTCAGTTTCATCGTTCAGTTCATGTATGTAACACGATACAAAACAGGACGGATTTAAGTTGAACGTGTTAGTCAGCAAGTCTCCACTCATTCCGCCCGAGGATCACTCTGTTCCTCCTGTTCCTCCTCCTGTTCAAACATGGTTTGAACTCAACCTTGCTCATCGAGAGTTAACACCAACGCTTGACCTGAGCGGGTGATGAATGAGTGAGTGTGTGTGTGTGTGTGGTAGACCCGAGCGATAATAATGGTCTCGATATTGAATCCCAACTTTCTTTTCCTTTGTTGCCAACACCGTCAGCAATGGGCTGAATTGCACCGAAACGCCCCCCTGTTTCCAGGCTTCCAGAACGCTTCCAAACGTCCGATCCAGAAAACTTTATTCGCGACGAGAATCCTCGAAACGTTTCTGTTTCACCGACGGGGGTATTCTGAGTAGGACACGTCCACGCTCACGTCCACATCCAACAAACCCCCGATCTTCGGAACCTAGATCGCGGCCGTGGACCCTCGCACCACCTATATATGAATCAACTGGCTCCTCCGCGGTCCCGAGGATATAACCCAAGAAGTTTGTTAAAAAAAATACCTCAGGTACTCGGCAGTTTAACTCACCAAGCTAAGAAATGTTACGTACGTACGTACGACCAGCCCTTCCTTTTGAACTTTACGAAGCGTACGTCGGAGGAAAGGGGTGGAAAGTTACCCTGATGTCATACCTTTTTATCTTCAGAAATTCAGTCCATCCATCCATCCACTACGCGCAGCTGGGACAAGAACTGTTGTCTCAGTTCAATGGGGATCTGAGCTTTGTTGCTGACGTCGTCTTCTCTTTTCTCGCAAGTCAGTCCCAGTACAACTGGGCAAGATCCATGGATGACCGGGGATATATGTTTTGAGTCCCCACAAATCCACGGCCACGGTGGAGATAAATCTGTTGTTCTGTGCTTGCGCTTGTGCTTGTTACGGAGCCAGATTAAACCACATCCTCACACACAGTTTCTTCCCTTGATGCAGGGGGGGGAAGTCACCAAAAAAAAAAAAAAAAAACCCAAAAACAAATGACTTTCCTTCAATTCTTCCCTGCCTTTCAGTCTTGAACAGCACAAAAACAAGCTCTCTGCTACGATGGATGAAATCATCGTCGCCGCTCATACGGTCGGTCCGTTGTAGTAGTAGTAGTAGTAGTAGTAGTAGTAGTAGTAGTAGTAGTAGTAGTCGTAGTAAAGCATTCAGCACCTCAACATCGTACCTAAACAGTTGACACGCCTGTTTCAAGTTCGGCGGTGCTGGCAGTGGTTGGTGTGGGGAGAATTGTCGATAGACAGTTCATTCCAACTTTCTCTCTTTCTCCCGCGTCCCCGTAACCAGATATAATCCTATCTGAGAAATAGCTGGGATGTAGGGATTGATTGATTGTAGGGGGTGTGGGTGTTCAAACTTATTCAATCCCAATCTCAGCGCCTAACCACAAACAACCAGTCATGAGTTCATACACCCCCCAACTTGCAAAACTTGTAAAATATATGTTTCATCGACGTTTTGATTGTTTCGGCAGGTTTGGTGCTTGCGGGAAAAGGGGGGGGGGGAAATCCCTGCTTCATCGAGGGTTCGCTTTCTGGTTTTTTTTTCCCCTGCGCAAATCGTGGAAACTAATCCGGTCGTTGGGGAACATTAATGAAATCTCCACACACACACACACACACACACACACACACACACACAAGGCGATCGATGGTTCCTTCAAGCTGCGGGCCCCCTTGGCGCTATCTTCCTTACTATGACTTGTGAGGTTTAATATCTACTCTGTGTACACACCCTTATGCAAGATGTGAGAAAGCGTCTATCTGTTTGGAGGGGGGGTTAGGCGGGGCAAAATAAAAGAAATGAATAACTATGTGTAACGAGCTCGAGATTCTGTTTCCCGACTCCTTTCCTGACTTCTTCGGTTAAGAGGGGTGGGAAGGACTGGACCAAGCGCTAAAATCAACATAGCGAGCCTGTGGTGGCAAAGAAAAGAATAAATAGCTAGTTAACAGCTTACAGCGAGAAGTTATGACAACAAATATGTTATTTAGTTAAAACTAGTTATTTAACAAACATGTTGGTAAGTTGGCATATTCCAACAGCAACTTGTAACCAGTCCATCATTCATTTCCAATCTCAGCCGGCCTATTCTTTATCGACCGGTCATTATATCACACCACGGTGAAGCATGTTTCCTTTTCTCTATCACAGGTAGGCCGGGCAGTAATTGTGTCAACTATTGGATATATCAAAAAGGATGACATGACAAGATTCTGGCTGCAATATGTTAAGTTCTTTATAGTTATTCATATCATTGATGACTATCATCGATGGATACAATTGATAGATGTCATATTGATATTCCTTACTAGATATCGTCAGATCTTTATATCATCACCAGGTATCATCGCTAGATATCACTGATACATATTGCTAGATCTTGATACCGTACAGAGGCAGGCAGGCAGATGAGTGGTTGGATGTGTGGAAGGGAGTAATCTATATAGCTCACCAGCATTAGCACAGAATATTCACGCAAGAACTCTCGACATCATCCATCTTCATAATATATATCTCAATCAAGATATATCACCGAAGACTTTGTGATAGCATACAATAAAGATCTCTAGAGAGATAAGAAATCCAAGAATAAAGGATTCGTAATGATGAAAAGATCGTTAGTAGAATAGAAGATATGAGTGAGGGAAGGCAGTGGGCAGAGATATTGTTAATACATATGATGATAGAGATTTGATGAGTATGGAAGCGGAGCAGGAGTGTCAAAAGCGCTGAAAGAATAAGGGTTGCAAGGCTTTTTACAGTTAGTTAGCAGGTCACATTACTGCAAAAATTTTGAATTATATATTAGAAGAGACATAAAAAGATAACATTGAAAATAACATTGGCAAAACTGTAGTGAGTCCCTTAACCGCTTGACCAAAAAGATCGCACAGTGTTTATACCCTTCATTCCTGGTTACCAGGGTTCCTGTGGAAAACTCCCCTAAATTGTCAATATCAGAGGTAAACACAAGGCAACCCTGAATTCTAAATATATTGGGAAGAGGCGGCAATATTTCGGTAAATATTAACCGTACAAGGATGCGGTCTAGGCCACGCCCGGGTGAAGGGATCGATTGTAACCATCCATACCCCCTCCGTACTTCTGATGTTTCTCGAAGGGATTCGACGGAGCAGCAATCCTTCTGCTAGGATGGTCCAGGACCTGGCGATGCGCTTCCATGTGGAAGTTGTCCAGTTTTCTTCCTAATCTCCTCCAACAGAGCCTGCTCTTCTGCTAGTACGGCAGCTGCTTCCTGCTCAAGAATCCGTGCCTTCGAAGCACTCTCGCGTTTCCGTTGTTCCACCGCTTCTAGATTCGAAAGAAGCCCTTGTATCTCCCAAGCTTTTTGTGACTCATTGTTAGATGACTCGATCGGTGACATCTGATGTGGGGAGAAATTAGCGACACTTGAGGGACCAATTGGGGATATTGGAGGGCTCGAGGGTGATACGGGGCTTGTGGGGGGTGGTGAATATGGGAGCGGTATCGCCGCCGTTTCAAGAGGTCTCGAACTGTCAGGGTCGGGTGGACGATAATCAGAGTCGCCATGGTTGGCACCAGCGACTTGTTCTCCGACTTGCTGCACGCGGCCATCTAAATTGGTGTCCGAACTCATCTCTTGCGGAGAGAACGCTGAGTTTGAATTGCGCATCGGAGGAGGCGGGGCCCCTCCACCTCTACTAGTCTCGACTGCTTCTAATTCCGCTACGCAATCGTACCTGTCGTTGCTTCTGCTAATTTCCGTTCCTGAAATCTCGTAGGCCAGCGGCTTAATTTCCTGAACTTCTGTATGATTATTATCCTGTGGCTCTATGCCGGATGGGGTGACCTTTTGTCGTCGTCGTCGACGGAACCAAAGAAACAATGCTAGTAGTATCAGAGTGAGTAATGTGAGAGGGACAGCAATTGCCGCCTTTGCAGCGGTGCTAAGACCGCCGCTTCCATTGTCGACTGTTGGGGCAATCGAGCCCCTGCCAGGGATGGCCGTGTCTGAGGGGCCTGTGGTAGAAGTTCCCGTTGTTGGAGAATCGGTTGGTAAAGCTTGTGTTGATGCGGTTGTCGACGCAGATGCGGAAGCGGTGGAAGAAGTGATGGTGGAAGTGGAAGTGGCGGTGGTGGTGGTTGTCTCTGTACTTGTGGTCGACGAAGATTGCGGAACAGGGTCAGTATACTCAGGAGGAATAGCAATATCGGCCTTATCACATTGTTCCGCGAGATATGTCCACGCTTCTTCCGAGGCGCTCTGGCTGCACTCTATAGAGATGCAACCTGCAATAGAAGAAAGGAAATCGTTGCTCTTGCAACAGTCAGGATCAGATAGCCATTTGCCACAAGCATTGTCGTTCACAGCGGTTTGGAAACACTTGGTCTACACCTATGGGTTAGAACCGTTAGTGTCAAAGAGGGGTGATACACACTTACTGCACAATCTGATACACTCGCTCCAATGACAACACCGGCTGTTGTAACGACGATTGCAACAAACGCATGGCTGATCCTCATTGTGAGCCTGAGAATCGCGTAATGGTTGAAGCAGAGGGAAACATCATTCACTGGCATCGCCCCTCTGCCCAATGTTTGGCTGAGGTACGGTAAGCACATCCAAGTGACACAAAAGCCTCCGACGGATGTATTTAAAAGAGCGGCTAATTTCCAGCCCGGCGCTAAGACGATACAGCAGGGGGATGTTTGGCAGATGTTGGCAAATCTGCATTTCTCATTGCTCAATAATGAGAGCTGGATGCCATCAACGTTAGCCTATGCGAGGGAAGTCTTATCTTGGCTGGTATTGGTCCTCCGAAGATCCCTCAAGCACCTCGCTGTTCTTTACACCGGCATCTCTGGCCCTTTTCATGTCGCTAAAGGCATAGAAACTGGGGTTGCTGGCTCAAGAATTGGATAAACGCACGACGCGACGGAATGCGCCAATCTAGGCAAGCTACGCCCACATAATTCCAGGAGCATGGAAAATAACATCAACGGCTAATGGGGGCCTGGGGATGCAGGCTTAACTTGGTTTTGAAGTCCCTGGAGCGGTTTGTGAGCTCGTCGTTAGGCTGATTTGACGAAACGGATCACGAAACAACAGAGTGACTTTGTACATACTTGAAGTTAACTGGATTCAGATATACAGTAACTGCTAACTATCAGATCAACAGTGGCAGATATTTCAGCCAACTTAAAAAACTTGGAGTCTAGATGCATATCCCAAAACGTCTGGGCCGGCTCCAAGCCAGCTTTTCGCAAGCGCCCGCGCTGTATCGGCGCCCTTGGGAAATCCCACCGAAGCATTCCGCGCCTATCGGGGGCGACGAAGTAATTGGACGAATCGAATCCCCTTCCCGCATGCCACTGTAGCTCCAATTGAGATACCACAACATCTCCAGGGCTAATGTAAAAAGAATATCATCAAGCTGACACCGAAAAATTGTTACCCATGTAACAGAGTACGCTGGCACACACGGTCAACTGCAGGTGTTTGAATTGTGTGGAGGCAACCATTCATCGTGTTCCCGGGCGATTTATTGTCAAGTTCCATACTCCCTAGGTACTCATCCACGTTACCATTTTTCACGGATAAATATACCCAAGGGCTGTTTGGGATCTCACAATTGACTTCATGTCGCAGGTCATTGATTCACATAAAAAAGAGAAGTCGGCTGGGGAATGAATTTCAGGGGAGAGAAAGCTCTCTACTCTCTACATCACAACAAATAATAACTGCTGCAAAACTATGGCTCTGTAGCAGGTTTGGGCAAAGCTGAGGTTGTGTCTGTGCATCACATATTCCTGTGGCACGCAACGCAGTTCAACAACTCAAACCACTAGTACCCACCTGATAGAGTCATGTTTATCCCTCTCCGCCATCTCTGTATTTCTAAGGTATGATGCAATGTGACAATAATGTGGGAAGGATGAATGGCAAGTGGATCATCACTGGATGTAACATTGAACATAACTCAATTCATAAATATTGTGTTAAACCTCGGACCACCTGCTCTATCCCTCCCTCTGAATGCTCTCCATGGATCTCACCTATTATCAATACATATGTGGGCTTTTGTCAGTTAACTTTCACCAAATAACTATATGGAGTCTGAAAAGTCCGCATCGGACACTTTTGGCGGATTCGAGCTGGAATTTCTTCAAGTTGTTTTGTATATATATATATAGTTTTGGCGGCAGAATTGGGGCTCAGACCAAGAAAGATATGTAAATGACAGCTCAGGAACTGAATTTTGGAATAACTTGCCGAAGGTAAACATAGATTGATCTATAGTTTGTTGTTATCTGTAGAAGACAGAGCAATGGGTGATTGAAGTGGTAAAGCTTTCTTTCTCAGCCGGCTTGTAGTTACACAGACAGAATTTTTCATCATCTGAACATTTCTGTACCTTCCCTCCATCTCAGTTTTGACCCTCTTAACTCCCATCTCCCTCTCTCTTTTATATCGTACTTGGTTGTTTTTTTAGATCCCCCCTGTTTTATGAAGAGCTGCTCCTCATGTACTTGGAGTATACATATTCCATATGCATATTTCTAGCTAACTAAACCCACCACATACATAAAGATATATATACATATATATAGAACTTTGGTATACCTTAGTACACCGAGAATAACATTTCAATGAGGCCAGAACATGCCGTTATCCTAGGACATAGTCTGGTTGAGAGTTCCAAAATCGAATTGCGGGTCCCCATGTCGCAGCATGTTGATGCACCGATCGCCGTCACCGAGCATCAAAGGACGCGGCTTACTGAAGAGGATGTCCGTAACATTGAACTAGCAACCTTCCTTCTGCGTTTGGAGGAAGCGAATGAAAAGGGAGATGATCTGCTAACGAAATGTTTCTGGGTATTAGCATGTCCGCATCAAGAGAAAGACGGACATGGCCATCCTCCCGGTCCTGGTGTGGATATACTTTTTGCAAGTAAGTTGGATCCCCCTCCCCCGCGATTTTGAGTTCGCAAGTTTCGACTGCGCTTTGACACTTTTTCCACTCCATTTTTTCCAGGTTCTCGACAAGGCGGTTCTGGGCACAGGGTCGCTCTTCAATCTCCGGGAAGACACCGGTATGCATGGAAACCAATACTCGTGGGTCGGCTCGATTTCGCCCATCGCACAGCTGGCATGGCAGCCCTTTTCCACATGGCTGATCGTGAAAGTGCCCCACCGAATCCTGATGCCGACGTTGACGCTTGGATGGGGTATTTCTCAAGCATGTATGGCTGGATGCAGGGATTTCGTCTCCCTGCTCGTGGCCCGGTTTTTCCTGGGTCTTTTCGAAGGAGGCTGTCTTCCCCTATTCAGCGTAATTACGAGCCAGTGGTACCGTCGTGCCGAGCAGCCTATTCGAGTGGCTATCTGGTATTCAACAAACGGGGCGGCAACTATCACCGCATCAGTGCTGGCATATGTTTTGGGCCATATTCCGTCCGCTGTCATGAAGCCCTGGCAAATGTCAGTTGTGATTCTATATATCTCTCTCTTTCGTTCAGTTCCTGATGTGGGACGACGAAGCCGTCAATGTATTGAATATACACAATCTAATGACTCATGGAAGAACCTTTCTGTTTACCGGCCTGGTTACAATAGCGAGTTCGCCATGGGCATATTGGAGACTGGATAACAACATCTCATCTGCCCGCTTCCTCACCGAGCGTGAGCGGCAGCAGGCTGCTGAACGCCTCCACTTCAATCAAACCAGTGCAGTATCCCGCGAATTCAAGTGGTCACAGGTATGGGAAGCTGTGCTGGAACCGAAAAGTTACCTGTGGATTGCCATGTCAGTGCTTGTCAATATCGGTGCATCGGTTGCAGTCGTCTTTGGGCCGCTGGTCGTGTCCAGCTTCGGCTTTGACAAATTTCGGACGTCCCTTTTGAATATTCCATTTGGCGCTATCCAGGCACTGGTCATTCTCGCAAGCTGCTGGGCTGCACAGAAGGCCAAGTTGAAGTCCGTGGCCCTTGCTTCCTTCATGATACCCGTTATTGTAGGAGTCGTAATTCTTTATGTGCTCGACAGGAAGCCCTCTGATCGAGCACCCCTTCTGGTGTCCTATTACCTCCTTGCGTGCCTATTCTCAGGGAACCCACTCATTGTTTCATGGATCATTGGAAATACGGCTGGAACAACCAAGCAATCAGTGAATATGGCGCTCTATCAAGCAGGCTCATCAGTTGGCAATATTGTAGGTCCACTTCTTTTCAACGAGAAAGACGCACCGGTATATCACCGCGGCCTGCGTGCGGTACTCGGTGTGTTCGTTGCTTTGATCATGAGTATCGGCATCCAGGTTATTAACTTGATGGTGCTAAATAAATTGCAGAGCCAAACAAGGGTGAATCGTGGGAAGCAAGCGACCATAGATGACCGGTCAATGGCGAATAAATATCACTCCGGCGGAAGTGGTAAAGACGCTGATGGTGAGTTAGGCCAGCAGGCTTCTTTGGACTTGACGGATCGGCAGAATGATGAATTTGTGTATATCTATTGAACATTTGAATTTCCTGGTTAATCCAGTTTCGTGTCATCTTATTATTTGCACAGACTTGTGGTCTTGCATTGGTCGGTGATTCGGTTGAATTAAGATGTTTGATTAGCCTGTATCGAGAAACATATCTTTTTGTCAAGCACAGTCAGCAAATAGACGAATTTCGCAACATTCCCTGTATGAAATAACTCCCTCCTTCAGCAAGATACTATAGATCGGTATTCATATCATTTACGAAGCCTATATAGATTTTCGGTATCCCTGAAAGTGATATTCGTAGCAGTTTCTTACTATAAAATAGTAAGAGAATGAATGACCAAGAAAAGTCTCAAAAAAAGATACTTGTAAAGAGTTTGAATAGTGTTGTTTTCTATCCATCAAGGACCAGTATAAATTGTCCATTTTAATGTAAAGAAGTACACTCACTTAGTTAGTTATCTAGAGAGACTCGAAATGTGCATCAGCCTGTTCTCTTCCATCTGCCTCCGAGATGCTCGCGTACAGCAGAGTGATCATTTTACTCTGCATCCCCCCACTGCGTTTGTATCCGAGTTAGAGGCGATGATATCAATGTTTCAGTTGACTGCCAGTGACCTTGTCTGACTCTCATCTGCAGCAGCAAGTCATGGGTCTCAGCCAGCCTGCAATCTCGATGAGCTTACCCGCTGTCTCCAGCAGTGCAATGGGCCTCCAGTGCCCCAGGCCCTTCATAGCTCTTCGTACTTGGCTTCTTCAGCACCATTTAAAAGATGATTATTAAAATGCAATTAGTGCTTGCCGGATTCTGCGTAGGCAAGAAACAGAACCTTCCAATCCACTTTTCGTGCATGCGCGGCGAGGAGTGTTGCAAAATCTGTCTCATCCTGTACGATGATAACCCCCACGCTCATGCACGCGCTTAGTGCGGATCATTCTGCGGATGATTTATTCGCTGACTCGACGGCAGGCCTGTTAAAAGACCAGGGCATCAACGCTTCCACGGAAGTTGGAAGCAAAGAAGGAGAGATAAAGCCTTCGCAATTTTGTTGAAGGTGGAATTAAGTTTTGGGATTAGGGTTAGAAAAGTTCGAACCGACGAAAAGCCCGCCGCTGGAAGGGCCAAAACGCACTTAAGTTCCCGGTTGCAACGAATGGGAACAAAGCGAATGGAGACGAACCATGAGCTGATAACAATTGATAATGCTGAGAGGTGGCAAGGATGGAGATAAGTTCAGATCGTGGACCCACTGGAGATAAGCAAGATTGATAATTTGATGCAGATAAGCCATAGTGTGGAACCCTGCGCTTCAACCATGCGACAGCAAGGGCAGAGGAACATCGTTGCACACTCCAACCGGCTCCGATCAGCTCAGGGATCAAGGGTTCCTCGTTGATAAGTCATGAATATTGCTGTTTGTGCTTTAATGACAGCTTCCCAGGCTTTGCACCAGATGCCACCGCTCCGCAAAATTAGCTTTTGGGCTTCCGTAGTTCAAGAGAAGAACTGGTAGCCCAGGATAGAAGAGTGCGAAACGAGCAACACTCCGCTTTGTAGTTGGCGGTTAAAGATTAGTGGGATATATGTATATATATATATATAGCATGATATGGTTGTGTGTGTGGAGATGTAGAACAGTGCTAGTTAGTCCCTGCACACGCCAGAAATTTATTGCAAATCTCACACCAAAGCTCTACTGCGGAATCAATCCGGTCTCGGGGCCTTGATGCCAGACTTGATACCAGCCAAGTCTCTGTATATCCATCTCAACTGTTTCTGGGGGGTTGTTTGCTAACTGGTGGTTATAACTTATAACAACATGGATACTCACCCTATCTATCCACTTACAAATTCCTCGCATGTGCAAGGAACGTTGGATCCACACCTCCGGCTTATCAGAAGTCTCGATGGTAATCCGTAAGTTACGTCACTCGACCCAGCAAGCTCCAATGGCTGCTATTGTCCTTATCTCGCACGCCGCAATTTCCTTCCGCCCCTCCGTTTCCGGCCCTGTTGCTGGTAATTTCACGATTTTTTTGAACGGAGACTGAATAGTCATAGTAGAACCTAATGGAAATGGCCAATGCATACGCACAAGCTTTGGATTTTAAGCGCTTGATCCGGCCGATAACGCTCTTTGTTCTGGAATCCGGTTCCGAGGGCGACCTGATTATGGTTTTTTTTTTGGCCCTTCTTTTTCTTTGGCGAGGAGATAAACAAATTCGCCCCCTCCCCCTCTATTTTAGAATTTTGTATATATATGTAATAATAATCCCCCCATCCAATCTGTTCCTTTTATCCTTTCGCCCTCTTCTTGATATTCGTTGTGCCTCTCGGTGGTCGAATTGTTTCTCAAAGTCATAGCTACTGTGTTCCCAGCGGATCCACCGCCGAGGCCGTAACGACATCTTTCTACCCAGTCCTCCAAACCAATCTGATATATCTCTTGAGGCCAATTGGACTTGATCTTTATTGCGATACATTTTGGAAATCAAAGAGAGAGGACAAAAATGTCTCATCTCGCTGTGGAGCCAGAGTTCGAGCAGGCGTACAGAGGTGGGTTGTCTCGCCACCTTCTATCTCGGACAGCATCGATGTTGGAAAATAAAATAAAATAAAATAAAAATGAATGAGGCAATATAAAATGCGAAAAAGGAAGGATAAGCGTGCTGATTAGGCATATTGAGTACAGAGCTGGCCTTTACTTTGGAAAACTCCACTCTTTTCGACCAGCACCCAGAATATCGCAGAGCGCTCGCCGTGGCAGCTGTGCCAGAGCGTACCATTCAGTTCCGTGTGACTTGGGAAAATGACAAGGGCCAAGTGAGTAAAACCACGATACATCGTAGACACTTCAGTTTGAATATACCCCGAGTCTGATGGATTCGCAGCTGGAAGTCAACCGGGGTTACCGGGTTCAATTCAACTCTGCTCTGGGGCCTTACAAGGGAGGCCTTCGGTTTCACCCCACAGGTATGGGAGTATTTTCCTCTGCCCGTCGCCTTCCAGTGTTCTTTTTTATGCTAACCTCGGATCAAATAGTCAACATGTCCATCCTGAAGTTCTTGGGCTTCGAGCAGATTTTCAAAAACGCCCTGACGGGATGTAAGTTTTGACCCCTAGCAAATCGGACACCTAGAGCAAGCCGAAGGTGTCTTCCCCCCCACAAAAAAAAAGAGAGAAGAGAAAAAAAAAGCAAAATAATGTCCAGAAAACTGATGTGCCACTGTTCTTCCCCATTTAGTGAACATGGGTGGCGGAAAGGGAGGCGCCGATTTTGATCCTAAGGGAAAATCGGACAACGAAATCCGAAAATTCTGTTCCGCCTTCATGATGGAACTCAGCAAGCATATCGGTGCTGATATTGACGTTCCAGCTGGCGACATTGGTGTTTCAGGGCGTGAGATTGGTTTCCTATTCGGTGCATACAAGAGACAGCGACACCTGTGGGAGGGCGTATTGACTGGGAAAGGACTTAGCTGGGGGGGAAGCCACATTCGCCCCGAGGCCACTGGGTATGGTCTGGTTTACGTATGTTTGCACCTCCGAACAGCCCAGTTATTTAGTTGCTCTACTCTTTTTGGGGCTCATGTCAACTAAACTGACCGATAACCTCAATTCTCTATAGTACGTCCAACACATGATCGAATATGCCACAGACGGCAAAGAAAGCTTCAAAGGCAAGCGAGTTGCGATCTCCGGCTCGGGGAACGTCGCGCAATACGCAGCACTCAAGGTCATCGAATTCGGCGGCACCGTCTGCTCTCTCAGCGACAGCAAGGGATCACTAATTGTCCGCGACCACGTGGATAGTATCACCCCAGAAGAAATATACCTGGTGCAAGAGCTCAAAGTCGAACGCAAGCAACTGTCTAGCCTTGCTAACACCGATTCCTTCCGCGGACGATACAAATACGTCGAGGGCGAGCGACCGTGGACGCACGTCGGCAAAGTTGACGTCGTCCTGCCCTGCGCCACGCAGAATGAGGTCTCTGGACCCGAAGCTCAGGCATTGATGGACGCTGGCGCTAAGTACATTGCCGAGGGGTCTAACATGGGTTGCACGCTGGCTGCTGTTGAGCACTTCGAAGCCAGTCGCCGCTTCCACGCCATGGGGAAATCCATCTGGTATGGCCCCGGAAAGGCAGCCAATGCAGGCGGTGTTGCTGTCTCCGGTTTGGAGATGGCGCAGAATGCGCAGCGCCTAACCTGGACAGCTTCTGAGGTCGATGCGAAATTGAAGCAGATCATGAAGGAGTGCTTCGAGATCGGCGTTCAGACGGCAAAGAAATATGTATTGCCTGAAGAGGGCGGCGGATTACCTTCCTTAGTTACGGGAAGCAACATTGCTGGCTTCATGAAAGTTGCAGCCGCGATGAATGATCAGGGCGATTGGTGGTGAAAATATGGGGCCATTTTTCCAATTTTCAGTTTCCAAGAGATCATTGCTTCCTGTCACTTATAACCGTCTTGTATATTGATCGGTCTGCTGGTAACGTTGGGGGTTCCTACGTTGCCTCTGGCGTTTTGTGCCATTTATTTTGATACTCATGTCTTGTTTTGTTTTGCGTGGGATCGATCATGCGTGCTTGTCTCATAGAATCATGAGCAGTGTTTGGGTGGAATAGTTGGTGCCTGATTTTGGGATATCTTCCTGCGATTTTCATCACTTCCATGTTCCTTGCGGTGTTCGGTTTTTATTCATGGTTCATGCATGCTCTTCCATATCCATGCGAGCGTTCACCCACAGTTCTGGCGATTGTTGGACCCTGTATTCTTCCTTGACGTTAACGAATGAATGTTGTGTTTATCCTATGGTTTTGGTGTAAACTGTCTTCTTGAGTTAAATACCAGTAGTATAAATAAGAAAATAACTTAGCAGACAACGTTTACGTTGAGCATTCTTCACTTACCAACAGCATGTCATGCATAACTGGTAAGCCACCTTGGCTATTCTGTTTTTGGTTTTTTATTGTGCTTTTATTTTGATTTTTTATTGTGCTTTTATTTTGATTTTTTTTATTTTTATTTTATTTTGGTAGCAACAACCAACATACCTCACACAATCAGGACGAATCATCACCAGAGGGCGTAAGTAAGGTTCATACAAAGGAGGTGTTATCGTGGTGATACCGGCGATCTTTGAATGAACCAATTTTATTCTTCTTCCATCCCAATAAGTATTCTTTTTATACAACAATTTTTGATCAAATCTTTTTTCTATTTTCTTTTTTGTTGTCTTGATTCAGTTCATTTTTGTTATAACTATGGAAAGTATAATCTAACCTGTGGACTACTATTGAATAACAGTTCTACACAATGATTTAATCTGTTTCTCCATCACCCAAAAACCAAAGTGAAAAAGCGAATAAAATCAATTTTTTAAACAACGAGCTTTCTGAGAATTTCAGACCTGGTTTTATAAGTGGTGTAATTATCAATCTTAATTTACAAGAATTTCTGTGGCACCCTCTCTGTGCCAATTAAACAAAAAAAACTATAATTCTAAATAATTGGCTGGGAAGATCATGTCCCTTGATGCACTCTGTATCTGAGGATTATGTTGGGATGATATACAGTGCCAGGCTATAACCATAAAAGAAAAGCCTGTATCTATATCTAGCACAACTTCATCACATTTCCCAACCCTTCGCCTGCCCCATTTTCCAGAAACAGTTCAAAGAAAACCTCTGGCCTGGTTTTGTGGTGGGATATCCTGATCAACGCACGCCATTTGCTGCGGGTTTTGCTTGACTGGCAAATATCTCGGGAGCACGGATGTACATATACATACTCATGAACCAGTTTATTCTGTGCAGTATTGATGTAGTATTGAACCTCAATGCCTTATGTGCAGACATAAAGATTATATATACATACATACAGATATACTTATATATTTTTGCATTCACTTTTTGGAGTAATATCTCATTCGCTGAATGAAACTTTTGTTCCCCGCACTACCGACAAAGTTGCGCCGCAGCCTCGAAAGATCTGGTACGAATATACTCTCTCTGTGTACCTGTTCATGTCCGTCCGGCCTTCAATGTCGGTGTGACAGGTAACTCATGGATTTTTGGTAAAAAGCCCGGTAATCTAGCCAATGATTGAACAGCTGGTAATCCGCGGCTTCCGCGACGGATGCGAAGTGCATATTGCATAGCATACTAGTCCTCGGTGGAATTCAAACATTTCTTCAACGGGATTCCAGGGAGGTCTAGCGTTCGAGTACGAAGTTGGCAAACCGGCAGATTATCTCTGGTTTTGAAGGAGGCTTTTGAAGGCTGTAAGGTTCCTGAGCGGCCTGGGACATGGTACTGGGAGCCTGTTAGCGATAGCTACCAGGCAGATATGCCAGCTAACTTGGGGCATGTCCTCGCTAGCTAGTTTCAGCGGGTACGGAGCGGCGAAGTCAAGGGCTACACTCCACCGACGAATGGGATAGATTCGAGGGACGATTTACAAAATCCATGAAGGCCCCCTGCGTGGTAGAGGAGGCCATCATAGTCACAGCCTCACTGTGGCGTGGCACTTCGCTTCGTAGGTCATCTTCACAACCTCGAAGTCGATATTTTAGACGATTTACGCACATGTCTCAGTTGCAACCAGCAATGTGTGACGACGTGCTCACCGGCGCGACAAGGCCCAGCGTCGGAGCTAAGGTGTCAGGGGAAAAGCGAAAAGAAATCCACAAATTTCTGGCATGAGCTCTATGGTGGGGAATAGCTGCCAAACAGACATCCACCCCAGCCCCCTCCCAGGACTTGCTGAGCCAGTCGATCGATCTATCGACCCCGATATCATATCCCTGTTCGGGTAAGATGATTGCAACCCGAGCTATATTGTTGGCACTCATCTGGAGAATCTCTGGACAGTCTCAAGCTGTTCGTCAACAGGCGAATGAAAGATGGTGTTTCTCGGCATGCTGACAAGTTCATCCCGCCACTTGGAATACGCAGTGTATCCCTACCCCCTCCCGACACATGATGATGCTGGCACCGTCACAACCTGGCAGGTTGCCGGATCGGCCGCCTGAGACTACTGACGCTTGATAGAAAAAGAAAATACCGCAGAACTGGCATACTGCGTACAGATCTGTAGAGCACATTGGGGACGTGTGTGAGAGTGTGAGAGGCTAGAAATTCAAATGGAAACCTGCATACCAAGAGTTTCGGCCAATGGCCTGACCGAATTTGGCGCGAATCTTTTGGGCACTGCTTAGTACAGCTAGTAATAATGTAACAATGGCATTATTATTCAATAGTTCGCACAAGTTAGCGGTTGGTTTGGCAGCGGCATTCTCCCCGTGTTGTGTCGCAGAAAATGTATTTTTTATGTGTTTGAATTGAAAGCCTGGAAAATGCTCGCTTTCAAACCACCCCTCTTATTCTTGCTCCTTGACTTACCCCGCGTGCAAACATGCCGATGCCGTTTGCATGATGTTCTGCCCTGAATCAGGACTCCGGAGTTGATCTGCCCCACTGTGGACGGAAGAGATCTCGGATGTACGGGAAGATCAGTGGAACAACGAACCATATTGCAATGACAACAAAGATCAACAATTTGGCTGGAGTTAGCGAATAGCTAACTCAAAATGTCTGCTGTCTTCTTGCTTGACTCGATGCGAAGCAATTCCCCAGTTGAATTCGGGTGTGCGCCCCAGCCATCGCATCTATGGGATGGGCTTGTGGAGCATTATTATTTTTCTTTCTCTCTTTTTATTTTCATTTTCCTCTGCTTCGCTTCTGCTCTCCTTGTTTTCTTTTTCTTTGTTTTTTGTTTGTATTGACGTTGTTAGCTTATGATAAGCGCCATGAAATGTCTCTTTATCGACGTGAATGCATCCACTCGTCCGGGGGAACGGACTCTCAGCTTTGAGTGTGACCAAGCACGGTTAGCAGGTTCGGTCTATTGATCTTAGCCCGGCCCAGCGTCTCCACCAATTTCCAAATTTCTTTGGATGTCAATGTGGATTGAATCCGCCGACCCTCAGAACGCCCCTAAATTTATTCTTGAGTGTGGAACAAAAGTTTCCTGCCAGGGCTATAGAAGCTGACACTATAGCATACGTGACCTTTTATTTGAGTTATCACAAGAGTCTCGCAACCCCCAAAATCTATTCTATAGAGTTATTGAAATAGTATGCAATTGAAAACATTTGCGAAGAAACGAAGAGGTGGTATTTTAATGGGTATGGCTGGGTATACACTATGCCTATTTGAACCCCGTTAAAACTCTTGGCTGGGTGTAAAAATGGCCTACCTCGAAGGTGTAATCAATCAATCTCGATCTTCCGTCCTCCATAGCGACCGCCCACGCCCACCAGACGCTCAGCTCCTCCTCAGTGCCACAGATACCCGATTCAGAGCCAGAAAAAGAAGTGAAAATTGATCACAAAGTGTGAAGACAACCGCTCCTTGATAGTTGCTTGTTCAACATCATCGGCTCGCCAGGCTGGGTTCGTCGATGAGCCGGCTATTTTATATGTTTCTCAGATCTGGGTTCTTCCTCCCCCACTCCAATACCAAGGCCTAGTGGGGATAAAGAGTGGAGGGATCAAAAAAAGCATTAGAGTTTTCCAAAAAATGAGTGCAAAAAAACAAGTTGCTGCGTCTTTGACCCTTCAAAAGCTGGAGCCAACCTCAGCGTTTCAGAGGTTGAGCTGAGAGGAGGTGAAGTTCACACCGAAGGCGGACATTTGCGCGGGTACTTCTAATGTGTGCATCGACAGTCCGCCCCATGGTTCTCTGGATTACTTGAGCATGTTTGTACCCTGGTCGCTCTCAAGCCATTAATTCAACCTAAAAACGAATGTTGTAGGGTACAGGAACATCAACCGCGCTGTTTGTCACAACGCCCCCCAAAAATAGGCTCATGTTTCCCCGGAGGATGTTCTGATTTTGGCGCAAGTGATGAAGGAAAAACAAATGCAGCAGCCAAAAGGGAAACAATAAGCAACCAGGGGTCAAAGGTCGATCAAGGCCATCTTTGAATGGCGTCGGCATCCACACAGCCCAAGTCCAGTTTTTTTTTTTTGTTTTTTTTTTTTTTGGGTTTGGCTCAAGCCCCATCGCCAGTATCTTCGATCTGGTACGATTCAGGCTAGGCGATACACCAAAGCGATTGGACACTCCACATGATAGGTTACCAGCGGATCGACCTTTCAGTTTACCATCCGCCAAAATTGTTGTTCTCTTTTTCGTATCAGACCTGACTTGCATGAGTGCGGGTACCAGATAGTTGTGGGACGGTTCCGTCAACTTATATACCGCATCCCAGTGCTTCACGGGTCTCGCCAGCAAACATATAACACTTCAAGGTACCACTTTAGCAGCCAAGGCTCGATGCATGGATCAATGTGGATAGATCACCAAGATTTATTGGAACCCGAGATCCTCTGAGCGTTTGGGTTCCTACCGTTCTCTGATTATACCGTCCAGTCTCTTGTGCTCTCCGGTACGAATCGCCATTCCTGTCAACAAATGTCCTCAAGGGTCCCCCGACGCAGGAGAGATTCTAGTTTAATCCGGAAGCTCTTGAGGTCAACATCGTCTCGTTTTAGAACACTCCTATCTACTGCCCGCAGAAAGACCACCCGGAGGTATTCAGTTTCAAACGCGCCTTCATTCCCTTCCACCACCGCCAACGATCCTAATAACATAACATAAACGTCGAAGCTAAAACAAAATATTTTTTTTTTCCAGATCAATCACATCCCAGTTCCGAAGCTCCAGGGATAATATGAGTGACCCGCGAACTCATTTTGATCCTGCCGCTATGGTGGGTCTGTCAGAGGCCTCCCACCGTGCCGATGATCCTCAATTCGACATATTTGAATGGTATCCGCGTTACCAAAACTGCCAGCGCTATTTCCTCGATCACGCCCAACATAGTATTCCCATTCAGGCGCTGTCGTCCTTCCTCAATATTTACCTTCCTTTTCAGAGACAACCGAATCCAATCTTCAATTCCCCTTCGAACGTTCCTCATACTAGCTCGCAATCCAACCTATCGCCAAACCAGCCGCGATCATGTCCCGCTGTCTCCCTTGTCCCTTATATTCGACGGCTGGTAGCGACAGGTATGGATTTCCCAGGTGTCCTGCATGGCTTTTTTGGTGATGATTGGGTTGCCGGTGTTGGCCATCTCCATGAACAGGAGCGGCGCAACTACTTCTTCGCCGCGAAAAGCGGCGGGTGGGCATCTGTCAAACAAAATTATGATATGCAGCCTTTGGAGACAATCCCGTTTTTACGACCTTTGCAGGGATCAGCGGACGCGGAGATCGAGGCTGCAGAGAAACGCTGGAGCGAGTGGCTTGCGATGGAGGACTGGATGGTAGGGCCTCGAGCCCCGGAGGGCCTGAATGGCTCTTCAAATCACTCTCGCGAAAGAAGTGCGAGAAGCGCGAGATCTTGACGGATTTTTTTTTTTTTTCATCCGTTGTACGCATTTATGTCTCCTATTTTCGTCTGTACGACGGTTTCGTTGGTTATCCTCAAGGGCGTTTATTGTGCTTCGCTAGGTTCATGACACTTTGGTTGGGATTTCTAGAGGTGTTGTTTATCTTCCTCCTGTTTGATATGTAACATCAAATAACTTTCCCCAAGTGCAGCTAGGCCATGTTCACTTATTGTCCTTGAGTTTGCTGTTGTCCGGATATTTTTCTTTTGTTTAGTCTAGTGCAGTTTTGTTTTCTTTCCTTTTCTTTCCTTTTGCTTTGTTTTGTTTTGCTTCCCCCTTTCTTTGCGTGCTCAAGGTGGATTTTTAGCGAGATAATATTATATTGTGGTTTTTTTTTTTTTTTTTTTTCGTTTGGCACCGTATAAGCCGTCGAGTTTTCCGGGCCATGCATGAAAATACCGAGGGAAAAAGTTGAAAAAGTTGATGCGAATCATACTCGGAGACATAATAAGGGGTGAGAAACCTATGGGAATCTCAGCTTGACACGATATATAGGTGGTCTAACTCATCCACCCCCCAGAAACAAGAGCCCTTCGGGCGTATTCCCCTTTTACTTAACCTTCGAAAGGCCTCGAGTCGGGGGTGGGGAGGAGGGAGGGAGTGAGGGAGTGAGGTATGGCTTAAGAATATCAGAGAAGTTGTCCCCAATGCTCTCTTCACGTGAATACGTCAATACAGAGAATGCCCGTTAAAAGATCCGATAGGTAAATACAGTAACTACATGTTTCTGTTTTACTTTGATACCCAGGGAGCTAGAAAACCCGGGATTGAGAAATACTTCCCATTTCTTTGGGAACGGGCGCCAAACACTGATGGCCAATGGCGGAAACGGAGCCAGGGCCTGATGCTCTCTGACCCGCGTCTCCTCTGTCTTGCTTGAAGGTTCCTTCCGGCCGTTTCATCAACCATATCTTATCTACCTGGGCTCTCCAGAGACTTTCCTGGAAAATAGAACAGGTGCCGAATTGCTATTTGGAAATGGATTTTTCGTTGATCTTTGCAATACATTTCTCCCCGCATACATCGATTTGCTATCAACCTGCAGCGATTAGAGGAGAAAGGTAAGGGCGAGAAAAGGATTCAACATATTAGTAATCGCCGTTATGAGCTCCAGCTAACTAACTAATCCTGTATCTGGATTAGACATCAAAATATCGAGATATTATGGTGATAAGTGTATAAAAGCAAGAGGTGATTAATTTATTTGACTATTACACCCAGTATTCACCTTTGATAGTTTCGGGGGCCGATTTCTGGCATCGGTCGCCGTGCGGTGCCGCTTTGGGCGCTCTCGACCGTGCCTAGGTATCGTGATGGGAATCGTGCACTGACCCCAACCCTTGATCCGGCTAGTGTGTCCAGCTGCTTTTAACATCGCCTGACCACTTCGGCAGTTTTGACAGCACGGTGTCAGTAGATCGCGTATCAGGATATCAAGCTTCTGCACCAGCGCGGAAACAACAGTTCTCAATTCATCAGAGCTGCTGACAGCATGTCATTCACAGCTAAGAAAGACAAGTAAATACTTTACGGGCTTTGAGTTAACGTCTGGAATTTAATGCTTCGGGTGAAAGTTAAATGAAGAGTATATTCTGCTTTCAAGTCGAGATAGAGAAAGAAGAAATTACTGTGGAGGGCGAAAGCTTGTTCCATTCGATGGTCTTCGGGATTACACAGTATTATAAATATTATCGAAATCTGTTGACAGGGAGAAGAGCACGTAGTTTTATTTATTCAATGGAATTTTGGGGATATAACATAGCCTTACTTTATGTCTGACAGATGATATGAATTATATTGCTTAAATATTGTTCAAGAAGAAAAATATATCATGTATTATAGTCAAATAAAGGGGGAAAAATATTAAATAGGATTCTGTCGGAGATAATATCTCATATATCAAGGATCTTATAACATCTCGCTATTTGAAACCTGAGCACTGCCCCTCTCATATGATTGAGCATTCTCTTCCCTATAAATACTGCCCAGTTATCATGTAATTACCAGAGTGATCATAGTCAATTCAATTATCTATTGATATTCAGTATTTGGGTCAATATTCGGACATTATCCAGTTCCGAGAGATTCCCTCTCATATCTTTGGTAGCTCTCTGTCTGAGCCAAGGTGTTTCGAAATGCATTGATCCATAGAACCAAATTTGACCTCATGAATTCAATCAAAGTTGATATTATACCATTCCACTGCATGTTTCTCTGAACAATGATCAAGAACATCATTATTGACCTCTAGGTATTCTATCATCATAGATATCCAGGATCTCAATGACTCACCTCATGTGAAATAACCTGACTCTCTTTCTTCATCAATTTGCAGTCTTAACAAAGCTTTCAATCAGCATCTGTTTCAATGGATAGTATATATATTTGTAGATATCAAATTGTTTTGTGGTTGCAGTATACGCTATGTTGTTTGAAGGAAGGGAAATATCCTCTAGAGGAATGTGTGTAAAGGACTTTGAAAATAGATATATCTGCAAAAAATCCTTTTCTACCGTATCATCATGTGGATAATTAAATACTGCACAAGAATAGTAAAGGTGATTTGGTCAGCATTTATTTCATTCAGCATCTGTTGTGGATTTGAATGGCTCTTCATGATCTTCGGAGAAGAAGTGTGATTTGAAATGCTTTGGATAAATCCCATGTTCTCAAGCTTTTCAATGGCAATTGTATAGTCATCATCCTGCATAAAAACTATGGTGGCCTGCAGGGATGGGGAAATGATTAGCAGGAATAAGGAAGGATGAGTGATTTACAATTAAAAATATATATTCTTACCCCACAGACGATAGGAATGCCCAAATACCACATTCCGAGCGATCCCCAAGGAACTATGGCGGATGGAAACGGGTTTGTGCCGTCCCGCAAGTTAATGAATGCACCATTAAACCTGCCGACCAAGCTGGGACCTGGAAGCTGGTAAGTTGGCTTTCCTGTCAATGCAGGGCTCGAGCTAACTAATTATGTACACGAGCCATTTGCCACCTTGGGACATCTATAAATGAAGGGGTTGCACATACAACCTTAGCCACTTCTTTTTCAGCCTCTATTTGCATTCGATATTTTCGCTTGGTATGAAAGGGTTATTAGGGGGTAGGGATTGACTGTTTGATGTTGGACATCCCTTCCTCTGCCCAGCCTTTCTGCCTCTTTGGCTAATTGAATAAATCGCCCTGATGGTTGCTATGTCTAATTTCCAGTTATTCTCCAGTTGCTGTCCTGTTCGCTTCCCTCACTGTATATACATAGCTGGACGGAGGTTAGGTGTCACGTGCTAACGTCGTCCATGGAAGACAGCTGTTTGGTGTGTCGGGGAATGGGCCGGTCGGCTCTCTTCCGTGGGCGCGCTAGTGCGGAAGTGGTCCGAGCGAGAAAGTGGCGAACGACACGAACAAACAGTTTTATACCCCCCACCAAAATTCATGTGGGAGTTACCTTTTTTGTTTGCTATGGTTTTTTGTTATCAAAGTACCAGTACCCGGCTAACAAATCCTGGTGTGGGGTACAAACTGTTCGAGTTCGTTGGGTCTTCGAGTTTGCTCGGAGATACGTTCACTATGTAGGTGAGAACGGGTAGAGGACGGGTGACGGGTGAAGCAGCACGGATGAACCCTGGTACGCAAAATGCAGCGAGGGGTGCTAGTCCCGATCGTACCTGGATGGATGCGGAGGAACCGTTTGCCGGCGCGACGACAGATGACCTCCTTTGATAATCAAAATGTCACAACAAAAGATATTCATGCTTCTCACCAGAAGAAAAGAATTCTGTTGCTCTCCTCTCAGGCAGCCAGGTCAAAGCCCTTCGAAAAAACCGAAGAAAAGCCGCCTTATCCTCCAGTTGAGCATCGAGGGCTTCCATTGTCCGGGATATTGAGATAGGAGCAAGACACAAGCCAATTCCCTGGCATGGGCATCGTCAACGACTAGAATAAGAATTGCTACATCGTGTGTCAGCGAATAAACATGCCTTTTTAATCCCAGAAGTCAGCTTTTTTCTCCAGATTGTTATTTAGGAACTCAAGGGGTGGTAGTCCTGGCGAGGCAATACGCTGCGCAAGGTTAGCAGCATCATAAAGGTCGCCATCGCCATCACGGGCTGTGAAGCGTCGATTTGAATGGAGAGAAGTTCCTATGCCTGCAATCAAGCTATCATCAGCAACAAATAAATTAGTCAAATATACCACGATACATGAGGGACTGGAAAACTCGCTGTCAGACCAATACTCCAAATATCAACTGGATAACTCCACCATACATAAAGCAATGTCTCAGGAGTACGGTATCCCAAGGCATTATATCATCACCATGAGGCCCCCTTGCCAATTATAACTTCACCAAAGTCGGACAATAGCATTGGGCCTCCCTTAGGCCTTCTCAAACGTGAGATATATATTGCGATACTGGCTTTCGAGGTACTGGAGATTCGAATTCCTCTTGCTCCAGCTTTTGCATGAGATTGCTATCGTAGACGCCTAGGAGCAGGTTGCCCGGATGTATATCTATGACAGACACATCAGCAAAATAACATATATCAAATGATAAAAAAACCTAAAAGGTAAAGACGTAATACCGGTATGGGCAACCTCTCCATGGTATGTAAGAAATCCAAGGCCTGAAGGAGCTCGATAATAGTGGCTTTAACAAAATGTTTTTCAAACCCATCGGGCCGAAAATACCAACTTCATGTCACGCAGGCTCATTTGTGCAATCTCAAGGACAAGAACGATATGCTTGCCATCTGGGCCAACCGCTTCGAATGAGTCGAGCAATCTCCGTATATTATTTCGCCCTCGGTGCGAAGTATTTGCCATGCGGCGGGAAATACGATGGTAAGATGGGAGTTCACGATGAACCAATGATGTATGAACATAAACTTTGAACGCAACATAATGACGGCCTCTGCATACGTTAGTTGGGAGCCATGGTACTCAAGAACAGCGAGCCAACTAGTTGACGAGGTACCAAAGCCAAGTTTAGCTACTATTTGGTAGCAACGTGGAGAATTTCACTCAGGTGAACCGGGTAGAATCGATCAACTCGGTAGTCGGGGAGCTCCTCCTCCTCCACTGTTACCCTCTACAATCTCGAAACCGCTAATGGGAAACAATCGTGCTTTCTCTCAAGAGCCCGGCGTTTGGTCTATCACCTAGATATAAGGTAGAGAAAGATTTCAACAAGGAGCTGATAGCTGTCCATAACCTGGGGGTAGGTTCATTCTAACAGGTACAAAGGAAGTTTGATGCCCCGCCCCGATGTAAATTGTTGCGGAAGCCGCGGGCGGGACAACTGTATCCGGACGGGCATCATGGAGGTGGATTGCTCTCCTGAACGTGCACATCGCACTCTCTGCAAACCCAGGCTCGCTCGCAAGAACGCTTGCAGATGCCACCACACCACTCCCTTACAGCCTTGACGTTTCATGGAGCTTCTTGTCATTCCACCAAATAGCGAATCAATGTGATCCAAAAGCTCATCCTCGCGTTCTCCCAGCAAAAACGTAAAAGCCACTACAGTGTTGACATCCAATCCAATCTCGCGACGGCGCGGATCCTATATGTAATCAGGGTTGTCTGCCACTAGTGCAGTATTGGGACCAGAGGAGGCGCTGGCCAAAGAGTTGAGAATTGGGCGGGCACTACTCCCGTAGTGGCCCTGTCTGACATCAAAAATCAGCTTTATTATACTTGACTTCAGCTTAGCTACAAAGGAATTCGCAGCAATCTTACCTTCCTCACATACACCTCCATCGCAACCATCAAACAAGTGCAGCCACAATGATCCGACCTCCAAGGGAAATTGCGAAAGTCGTAGTGCCGAAATGACCAAAGCTATTGAAGCGGCCTAAATCTAACTGCCAGGCTGAAGGGAAATGCTGACTTGAGCCTCTAGTATGCTTCCTTCCTATACTCAATAGCATAAGCTGATCAACTTCAGCGATATATCCTGTACTCTCTCCGTCTTGAAAGAGGGGTAATCTTTAATTGCCTGGTCAAAGGCATCGAACACGAGGACATTGGACGTGTCCTATATCCATTAGGACCTTTCTGTCACTCGGGTATCCGTTTCTTTTCTGCGCTCACATGATATTGAACCATATCAACTTGCTCTTTGTCTCTGGCTTTATTCTGGTATATAAACAGATCACTGTTGCTTTAGCATTTCCCAGATCGCAGCCACCTTGAAAACTTCGCCACCACTTCCAAAAGACGTGATAAAAATTGACCATCACCGGCTCATTCCCCACATAAGATATGAGATTTCTTGATAGAGAAAGTTACATGTAAAACATGATAATGTAGCAAGGAGGTGCATGAGATGCTGATAAAAAATCGCCAACAATCTCTAAGAGAGAAAGACCAAACACCTCACTAAAGAGTCTCGCTCCTTATTTTCTTGATGAACTTCATTCATCACTTTTTCACCATCTGGATCTCTGCTGAGATAGTAATAATGCCGTCAGAATTCATGCACAACACTGTGATCAGACATACTTCCGCAATAAAGCCTTCCACTCCCTGTCCTCCTCACTACTAGGGACTGAGGTAGAGTACAACATACTCCCATCATACTCGATAGTAAGGAAATATCTCCCAGTCAGTGGTGTCAGTGACGGAGCTGTCCTTGACCACGATATTAACATTAGTGAGGTTGCCATATGTAAAGAAATAAGACATAACAGATGGCATGCAATGTCAAAGTTGTATTCATGCAGCCTCGGGTACGGTTTCTTTTTAAACCCACGCCTCTTCATATCAGCCCAGAGTTTGTCATCCAGTGGTTTAAGACTGAAGAGGCTTGGAGTCTATGACTTTGAACAAGGAAATTGGAATAAACTGGGCAGCCACCGAGTGCTTGGATATAATTGAATTAGAGCTTGTCAAGTTCTAGTAGGTACCCAGCCATCTGTCCAGCTATTCTTTCTTTTTCATTTGTGCAAAGCGTCAGATCAAACTCTGCCGAGGGGTTCGTCAGGAATACGCTTCATTTAGATAAGGTGTGTTCGCCTTCCTTTCAAGATTCGACAATGGATCTAGCGCCTACATCTTTAAGCATCAAATTTGAGCCCAATGATCAGATGCATTGATCGCCTGCTTCAAAGAACATTTTGATGTAGCTTCGGTAGTTACAATGCTTTTGGGGTTCGGTAGTCTAGTTACGCGCTGCGTAACTATTGTTCGAAGATTGTGTGATCATCTTTCGACGGAGAAATTAGAAGGGGAATTGTCATGGTGGGCTTCGATGCGTTTCGCCATCATATATGCAAGCCGGTCCCATCACTTCTCCAAACGTTTCTAGGTTAAATATACTGATACTCAAGTTACTATGAAGTAAATATTTTCTTCAAATGGACAAAACCTGCGCGAGCTGTGGAGCAAATATTAAAACGGCGAGATTTGCAGTGTCCTGAGAGAGAGCAAAGGGTGCAAACATTGACGATTTCGGAACCGGATTAATCATATAAGCGTCAACGTCACTCGTCCATCTTTGATCTTATCCAACCGAGGAATAATAAAGCCCGTGGGTAGATCCATTGTCAATGACAATTTCCACACGATGCTTCCATTCAATGTCACTGAATGAGCTGTATTAGCTATGGCTGGACGTCGGCATGTTTGTGTTTCTGCTTCGGGAATATAAACCACCCGTTTGTTGAATTAGACCACGCAGCAGAGAGATGATGGAAGGGTTTAAGTTTGCGGGGAGCTCTTCAGGGCAATGGAAAACTTTTCTTCGTCGGTGCCTTTCTGAGAGATCCGATGCCGCTGAATTTGGGCGTTTTGCGACGGTTATGCTGAATCGCCATTCCATCCCAGGGAGAAGGTTAATAGACATCATTCTAGCGGCAAGAGTTGTCACAAATGTGCCTTGGGACCCCTTAATACCGCTCTATGTGGACACCCTACACAGGCTTGGTAGCATTAAACTTGAAGATATCCTAGAGTCCCTTTTAGCGCATTCGACAGTCTCCCAGAAGCAAGCGTCTGTTCAGAATGGATCAGCCACAAAAACACCCCTCAGTACGCTGATGACCGACTACTGCGTTATCCACAATGCTACGATAGCAGCGACTTCAGGACATGCCCCAAAGACAATAGCTGAAGCCGGAAACACATTTTCTGCGCTCGCACAATGGATTTTATCTCTTCTTTCATGGAACTCAGGTCGTGAACCGGAAGGCGACCCCGCCAGCTCGCTGACAAGCTCTCCGGATGCTCTGGCCGTGTTCGAATCGCTCGGGATTTTATTTGCTGCACTTGTCAGCACTGAAAGATCAGTAAACGCTCTTTCTGCCGCTGGGACAAAAGGTACCTTTTCTATTCCTGTCACATTGGCTGTAATTGCATTTCCAACTTGGATTAATTACTGATTGTTGTTGCCCATCAGAGTGGAGAAATAAGCTAGGACAAGCTCTTTCTGAATATATTCCACTATGTGCTGGTGTATCAATTCCCCTACGTGACAGGCTCGAAGCGCTGCAAAAAGATTTTAACTTATATGGTCACGATGGAGAGAAATCTCTTGAGGATACAATGATGGAAAATGTCAATATCTCGGCTCTAGAATTTGAGTCTAACGTGCTTGACGGCGTTATCATTAATTCCAGAGCAGGGCCTTATATATATGTTAATGCCTTGGTATGCGCCTTTTTCCCCTCTCATTTATTGCTCTGCGTGTGTTAATATCGTCTTGAAGCTCGTCGGGAGACCACTGGTTGATGATAACATGGTTGTCAACTATTTAAATAACCGATATGGAGTAAGTTCTTGAAGCCCTACTTTATCAACTACACAAATCTCATGATGTCTTTCTAGGGCGATCGCATGGCACTGATTGAAGATCTTATTACTGCGGCCTTTGACGTTTTATCAAATGGGATGTATCGCAATGAGCCTAACCGCACAATGTTTATCTTCCGCTCTTTCCTAGTCAACAAGCTGCCACCATTTTTTGCCGAGATGTGTACATCTGCTATTGATCCCATCCCCATGGAGCTTTGTATCACCCGCGCCCTCAGTCGCATTGACCCCAACGCCTTTCCGTCGTTTTCGGAAATGTTCGCCATGCAAGGAAATTCTATTCTCTCGGATGTCCGACAGGAATTTTTGTTTGCCTGTGCGTTGCACAAATTGATACCCGAAGCGAGCATCGAGCGGCTTCTAGGAGAAAACCCAATGCAAACCTTGCCCGTTGGAGGACAGTTTCGAAGAGAAGATCTAGTTTCCCAAATTAATAGCAATCCTGAGCGTGCAGAACAACTTATAAATGAACTCGAGTCAATGGAAGGGAACGCTGGTGCAATAGCGGCGGCTATCACGGAAGTGAGATTTTTTTTTCTTTCTTTCTTTTTTTTCTCTTGTTGCTGCCCTGGCGTTCCTCAAAATCTGACTACATTGCCAGGTAATGCATAGTTTATGCTCAAGGAAGGAAACGATGACCCTGAAGAATATTTGCAATTCCCTCTCACGGAGGCCACTTTCATTGGACGTCATGCTTCTTTTTATTAGCCCATCAACTATCTTACAGCCCCTCTGCGCTTTGCTTGATGCCTGGAAATGGGGCGAAGAACAAGGTACACAGGATCATTCTCAGGTATGCTCTATGAAACATGCTGACAGCATATACAGGGGAAAGTCAACCGGTCTATGATGAATTCGGCAGCATATTACTACTGGTTCTTGCCTTCAAACACAAATACGGACTATCTCATTACGACTTAGGAATTTCAAACCCCGACTCGTTTGTCCTCAGGCTTCTAAACCATGGGTCCTCGAGTCAGAGACTTGAAGACTTGGATGAAAAGCAAAAAAATAATCTTGGAGCATGGATCACAGCCTTGTTCATTGCAGAAGGGATTAGCGACGATTCAATGTCATCATGCAGTCCCCAGGAGTTTTACTTCCTCGTAGCGACGCTTTTCAGCCAAAGTCTGGCGGCCTGTGAAACCGGAAAACTAGAATTTGAGACGTTGAAAGGAGGGTTTGAATGTACGTTGTTCCCGAATGAAACCATGCAAGAACGTTACTCATTTTTACAGATCTCTTAGAACCGTTCCTCTTGCCATCTCTAGTGATGGCATTAACATGGCTTGGTCATCACATTTGGGAGTCAGAAAGTGATTTGGCTACGTCGTTAAAACTTTTGCTTGCCCTCGTTAAACCAAGTTCCATATCTGGCGAAGCGCAGGAAATTCATCGCACAGTGCTATTAATAACTGCAAAGCCGCTTGAAGACCAGCTGAAGGGTGTTCGTACTAGGCATCCTTCGAGAAACGATATTAAACCCGTTCTCGAGGCTTTAGAGCCATACCACTCTTTCCAGCGGCGCAGCACAGCGCGTTACGGCGAAGTTGAAGGCTGGGCTGCGAATCCAGCAGGTGGAGGGATTGTTGCCAGCATCCGCAACACTTTTTCGTCATTTGTTTTCTGGAGCACAAGCCCTGAAATAAGCATGACGCCGCCTAGCTATACACACCGTCAGATTGTCGCCGGAATACGACTTGTAGGCGCCGTTCGCGTACTGCGAGGCATAATCGATGAGCTCAAATTGCAAGCGGAAACGGGGAGCGGTGATCTCGCCCTTGATATTGCTGCCACGCTCATATGTGCTCCCCTTGCGGAATCCTTTGCCGTAGAGCGGGCAGCATTCCATCCCGTTGATCCGTCTAAAGATTCGGTACCCCACTGTTCGATTCTCACACTCCGCGACGCACTTAGCCTTGAGCGTGAATCCATCCCCAAGTTAGTCGATAGTGACACGCTCCGTGCGGAGCTAATTGTGCGGTTAAATCGGCGAGTCGATGCGCTTACTGCTATCCCGCAGATGTCACAAGAAGTCTCAAATATCGATGTTGGCAACATCATGCAAGATATCAATTTAGAAGAGGAAAGCATGGGAATGACTAACCAAAGGCACGATCAAGGCGGTGAGCAAGCCGGTCAGCAGGATCAAGTCGCGGACGATGCAGGTGATCTCAATGACATGCTTGATGCGGCAGTGGCAGCGGCGGCTGGGGGTGATGGGGCCGGAAACGAACAGGGAATAGGTATGAGTGGAATTAGCGGGATTAGTATGACTATGGATAGTGGCATAGACGCAAGCATTGATGATGTGCTCAACGAAGCGGATATGGGAGTGGGTAATCCTGAATTTTTGGATTTGGATATGGATGGCATGTTTTAACCTGGATAGCTACCCTCACTGCATTTTGAACATAGATTTGTCCTATTTTGCGGCAGGCCGAAACCAGAACACCAGCTGTTGGGTTTACAATTTTTTATATAGTTCATCTCAATTGGAGATCGTTTAACATGCTTCGCCACTTTCTTGAACACACACGATCTCGAACACTTAGCAACAATGGCATAAAACTCCATTTGAGAACTTCATGGTTGTGAGTTTGAAAAAACTGTTAAGGAGGCTATGGAAATATGCCACCACACAGCTTTTTCTAATTCTTCTTTATTGTATTTCTCAGCGACATCTCTATGAATAATAATAGAAGAAAAGAAACATGGCACCCATGTTTTTAACCAACAAAAAGGGGAATCCTATCATAACAAATAATGCCACTTATGATTGGAAGACACACATCTCGTATTCGAATTAAAGGATTATTGGGGTATTATAACGACATATATTCATATATATACATATATATATAAATTCTTCGCTTATAAATAGGGAATCTCTATTGTCATCTAGCCTCATTAAAACTCCAACGTAATGAAAATTGTATATCTATGACATGCCAAAAAATCGTCATCCCCTCCGTCTCTCCATGCTACTTACTTACTTCCTTTCCACCAGCGCCCCGTCCTCAGCAGGCTCCAGCACCTCCCACCGACATTCGATACCATGTTGTCCGAACTGCGAAACAATGCGATCGGCTATCTGACTGAAATTAGTCGTGGCAAGGGCCAAGATTGTAGGTCCTGCACCCGAAAGGCATATCCCTAATAAACCGGGTTGGGTGGAAGGAGTCATGGAATTGAGGATTTCAGTAAGCCCTGGCACGAGGTGTTTTCGGTATGGCTGATGCACTTTGTCTTGCATTGCGAGGTAAATCATATCTGGATCTAATGGGCATTGGCTGAGGGCTGATGGGAGAAGAGTGGCGCGTTGGAGGTTAAATATCTAGAACAAAGGAGAAGAAAAAGAGCCGGTTAGCGGTAATGCGGGTAGAAAATTTTCAACGCGATGTGATGATGGCCACATACGACGTCCGCCCTCGAGTACATTTCCGGCAGGACTTCACGAGCTGTCGCTGTGGGCAGCTCGAAATTAGGTATTATCGTGATGGCCTTGATTTGTGGTGACCAGGGGAACTTTTTGTAATGGCCAATCCCGAGGGGTGGTTCTGGTGGTTTCACGCCAGTATCAATACCGCCGGCTGGTGCTGGGAGAACTTCACTCAAAGGGATCTCTTTCCAAGCTAGATCCTCTGGTCGCAATTCGTTCAGATAGGTGCCCACGAAACCGCCGTATAGGGCTGCTGCAACATTATCGGGGTGCCGCTCTTATTTATATAAATACCCTCAGTATGGATATATACACAGTTTGGGCATCGACGCAGGAAACCATATACCTATCATCAAACAGTAATCTAACATTCGAGCTTTGGTCATATTTAAGCCTCCTATTTCATTCCCCAGTATAACCCCCGCGGTAACCGCCGCTCCGCTCGAACCCAGGCCTCTTCCGAGGGGGATGGGGTTTTTGATATGAACATGAGTCTCAACAGGGAAAGCACGTTTATCGTGACATCGGAGAACATAGAGGGCAACGCGCGTGATGAGATTGACTTCCGGATCTAAGCTAACCTCCGCTTCGCTCTCGCCCTCATACGTGATTGCACAATTGAGTTGAAATTTAGAGGACGTTGTACTCCTTGTAGTAACGTGAAGCTCGAGGTAGATAGAAAGAGCCAGGCCTGTGTGAATTTTATGCCGTCAGTCCCCAATTCCTGAGAAAAATGGATGAAGGAAGCAAGTAGATCCCGACATTGCAAGGTACCACCAACCAATCACATCGAAACCTGGGCCAATATTTGCAGATGAGCAGGGTACTTTGATTGAAAAGGACATGTCTGTTCTGCGCCCCGTGGTGCCTCTAATCAGGTCCCACTATTATATTTAAATCAGTGAAAGTTGGCGAATTGCATCCGCCGTCGAGTGATAATACTGTCCTCCTGCCCCTCCATCTGAACTGGAGTTCAAGAAAAAGTTCAGCGGGGAGATAGGCTGAATCAGCAGGAATAGATCACATGACACCACCCTCGCCTGTTCTCCCGTATCTTATTATTGAGGATAGGATGGGTGATTTTTTTTATGTGTTTCAGATCCCAATGCTCTATCTAATCCTAATACCAGCTCTGATCCGCTCCTAATTCAAGATCAGCGCGCATTTGTGCTACTCGTGATGTGATGTTGGGAAATCTGTGTGATGAGCACAGTGGTAGTATGAGATGCCAGGGTCAAACTTGTGCCAGAAAATCCGAGCCCCTTGCAACTGTAACCCGCTCGAGTACCACTCCAGTGCTCGTCTCTGGGCTTTGTACTCTGGGCTTCGTTTTTCTCCCTGTCTTGTTTCCTGGTTCTGTCACTCTTTAAAAGCGATTTAACTATCTGTTGTTTCTCCATCCGACTTTTCTGAAGCTGGGCTGTACTTTTGGTTGATATAGCGTTCTCCTGTCTGTTTGCCTGATTAGTGTGTATGCGTGACAAGAAAATGAGCTACTCAGAAAGCCCCAGGCATTGATTTTCCTCTTTTTGGCCGAGGGGCTCTTGCGATAGTATGTTATGGTTTCCAAATTTCCAAACTGGCCGCGCGGATTCTTCCTCTGAGACCCCCATCTTTCCACATGCTTCAATAGGGTTGCACGTCTCATGTGAATAATATTCCTCGTGTTCGTTTCTGTTCGCTAGCAAACATGTTCCAGAGAAGTTCTCAAGTTTCCTATTGCATCCCTCTGTTTCGCTCTGAAATCTTTCCGTGGTGCGACAGCAACTCAGAGTGGTGACCGTGGGGAGGAAGAAACATATAATTTCTATGCCCGGACGATATGAATTACTAACCCGGGGTGCGATATTAGCTGGCCTATCAAACGCATCTTATAAACTTTACTAGGGATATGTAGGGTCTTGCTGAAACTGAAGTA